GATTCAAAGCCCATTCAAGCCATTTACTAGGTTTAAGACCACAAATGGTTATGTAATTTTTCTGAACCTCAGTTTCCTCATCTGTAAAATGGGCTTAACAATAGTACCAACCTCAGACAGTTATAAAAATTAAATGAGATAATGCACAGAAAGTACTACGCACAGTGCCTAGCACACAGTAATTACTTAGTACATGTCAGCTTAAAAGAAAGAAGGGAATAAAGTTGATCCATCTATCTGTATTCCCAGTGCTTACGACCCTGCCTAATTTGTTATATACGCTAAATAAAGTTTGTATTGGATTGGATGGTTTTGGTCTTCAATTCTATCAAACTGAGCCATTATGTATCCATAATCCCGTGTGATGTTTGCGTAGTTTAATGCTTCTATTGTTAAAAGAAAAACTTTAAACAAATTAAATTTAGCTGAATTTACTTGAGCGAAAAAAAACATTCATGAATAAGTCAGCACCCTGAATTAGTAAAGATCCAGAGAGCTCCTATATAAATACTGGACTGTCAGTATTTAGAGACGAAAAAGGCTTGATTGGTTACAGCTGGCATTTGCTTTACATGAGCATATTTTGGCAGTTTGCAGCCTGTGATTAACTGAAAGTGTGGCTGCTCCATGAATATACTCTCAGAGATTCAGCTGCCTGCTACATGAATATACTCTCAAGTTAGGTTGCGGTTTGTTTATATGTTAGATTAAGTACCCTACCTACGTAGGAAGTTTTAGGCCACATTAAATTTACCTTAACACATACTCCTTATTCCACTAAGACAATGAGGGCTTTTTTGTTTGTTTGTTTGAGACTGAGTTTCGCTCTTGTTACCCAGGCTGGAGTGCAATGGCGCGATCTTGGCTCACCGCAACCTCCGCCTCCTGGGCTCAGGCAATTCTCCTGCCTCAGGCTCCTGAGTAGCTGGGATTACAGGCACGCGCCACCAAGCCCAGCTAATTAGTTTTATCCACTGTCTTAGTGGAATGAGGAATATGTGGAGACTACCTGGATTGCTAGAAAATTTAGGGATCAGAGAGGGGAGCACCTGTAGGGAGTGGCCAGGGATCTGGAGGAAAACTATGAGATTGTCAGGTCCAAGGCAAAATACAAAAGGTGCTTTGAGAAGAAGGGAGAGCGCCGTCTTGCCATTTGCTGCTGAGGAGTCTAGTAGACTGAAGATTCGAGACCAAACACTGCGTTTGGCAATAAGGAAGCCGCTGGTAACCTTGATGAATTTCCTTGGGGCACAGGGGGCAAAAGTCTAAGTGGATAATTAAAGGGAGAGTGAGAGGTAAGCATGTAAAACACTGGGAGCAGAGATTTTCAATGCATTTTGCTATCGATGGAGGCAACGATTTGGTGGCACTCAGTAAGACATACAGGGTCAAGAGGAGGAATTTAAAGATGGGATTGTATAAAAAACAATTAAGATAAGGAGAATGTAGTAGGAAGGGGAAATTGATCATGAGGAAGAGAGGGGAACACTGCAGGAGCACAGCCTGGTGTGAAAAACAAGCGGTAGAAGCAGTGGGTACGTGGTGGTGCTGGCCTGAGGCCGGAGGAGAGACTGTTCCTTGAAGAAGGAACAGTTCCTGAGAAGGCAGTGTGTGGGCTATCAAGGCAGGCAATTTGCCAAATTTGCCAATGGGGAATCACGTTGTTGTTCTCTTCTGATTGTTTTTATGTTCTCAGTGAACGTAAAAGTCAAAGAGATCAGCTGAGAATTAGTAGAAAGAGGCTAAGGCAGAAGAGTTCTGACTTAGCCTTTTGGGACTGGGAGAGAAAAATGGACTGGGAAAAGGTTAAGTAGAGTTACCGGGCCACGGTGAGTGTCCGCTGGAGATGTGTGTTTGTAATTTTAAAGCTAACAAGTCAGTACAATGTTGTGATTTTCTTCGTCTATGTTTACCTGCTAGAGTAGATTAAGAGTTGGGTTTAACCAAAGATGAAGGTTTGCTAGAGACACCATGGGTAATCGGAGCAGGGTGAAAAGAGAAAAGTGGTGAGGATGTATAATAAATGGTAAAAACGTAGAGGAGTCCGTGATGGTCTCTGGGAGACAACGGTGTGGGGGGGTACTTTTTTTTTTTTTTTTTTTTTTTGAGATGGAGTTTCGCTCTTGTTACCCAGGATGGAGTGCAGTGGCGCGATCTCGGCTCACCGCAACCTCCGCCTCCTGGGCTCAGGCAATTCTCCTGCCTCAGCCTCCTAAGTAGCTGGGATTACAGGCATGCACCACCACACCCAGCTAGTTTTTTTGTATTTTTAGTAGAGACGGGGTTTCACCATGTTGACCAGGATGGTCTTGATCTTTCGACCTCGTGATCCACCCGCCTCGGCCTCCCAAAGTGCTGGAATTACAGGCTTGAGCCACCGCGCCCGGCCGAGGGGGGGTACTTTAAGCAGGAGCTGGGAAGATAGAGGTGGTTGAACATTGGGATCACGAAATTAAAATGTTGGAGGTGGCATAGACCCTGTAATAACAAAGTCCAGGTTATGACTGTGGAGTGGGAGGCTGAAGTCATGTCCATGGACATGTACACGGACGTGGGAGCTTCAGTGAGAGGCTAGGGTAGGTCAATTATCTTAGACGGAGATCGACATTTCAAATCCATTGAGAGGACTGATGGAGGAGAGGAAAGCAGTGATCTGTGTGCTTAAATTTTATGAATGGGGGACAGTGGAACACGACCAGTGAGTTGACTGCATGAATAAAAGGCACTGGGTGGCACAGACTGCTGCATGTGCTTTCAGACAGCAGGGTTTTTGAGAGGAGAAAGGGGAGAAATACTCCGGAAGTAATAGTGAGAAGCAAAGGGGACACAGGCCTTACTGTAAGCACTTAAAGTGCCTCAGATTGACAAGAAGCAACAGGTATTTCAGAGAAGAGACTGGGAATGAATTTCATGGATGACACAAGTTTGCAAAAAGCTCAGTGTTAACAGCAGGAGGTGGCCGGGTGCGGTGGCTCACGCCTATAATCCCAGCACTTTGGGAGGCCGAGGCTGGTGGACCACAAGGTCAAGTGATCGAGACCATCTTGGTCAACGTGGTGAAACCCCATCTCTACTAAAAATACAAAAAGTTAGCTGGGCGTCGCAGTGTGTGCCTGTAGTCCCAGCTACTTGGGAGGCTGAGGCAGGAAAATTGCTTGAACCCGGGAGGCGGAGATTGTGCCACTGCACTCCAGCCTGGCGCCTTGCAACAGAGCGAGACTGTCTCAAAAAAAAAAAAAAAAAAAGAGTAGGAGGTGACAGAGCAAGGTAGGAGATTGAGTTAGAACACAAATGCACCAAGATACATGAAGATGAGAATCTAAAGATAAGGTGGAAGATCTAGATATCCAGGACCTCTGACATTCTCTGTGTAGGAACACGAAGTCAACTATATCCCTTCTAAAGCAGGGACCATTCCAGCTCTTCTGTGTGTCCGCTGCAGACTCATATTAGTCAGGGTGGAGGTGGGGATAATGGAATGAACTGAATGAATGCGTGATCCTCATAAAAGGTAACAGATTACTGGCCGGGCGCGGTAGCTCACACCTGTAATCCCAGCACTTTGGGAATCCGAGGCGGGTGGATCACGAGGTCAAGAGATCGAGACCATCCTGGTCAACATGGTGAAACCCCGTCTCTACTAAAAGTACAAAAAATTAGCTGGGCATGGTGGCGTGTGCCTGTAATCCCAGCTACTCAGGAGGCTGAGGCAGGAGAATTGCCTGAACCCAGGAGGTGGAGGTGGCGGTGAGCCGAGATCGCGCCATTGCACTCCAGCCTGGGTAACAAGAGCGAAACTCCGTCTCAAAAAAAAAAAAAAAAAAAAAAAAAAAAAAAGATAACTGCTGTGGGAGGAGCGGAGGGAGACATTCATTTGGAAGATCAGATGGCAGGCACCTTTTTATTGGGTGGTAGAAGAGCAAAGCAGAAAGACCATAATCTGGAGTCGGAAGACATGGTTGAGTTCTCATTCTGAGCAACTGTCTAGCTGTAGGTCTTTGGGAAAATGACTACATAACTCTGACCTCACCCGTAAAGTAAGCCTTTCCTCCTTAGGAGACTGAGCTTCAAACTGTCACCTCTTTGAGGCTTCTGTCGCTTTATTGCAACACTAATTGCATCCCACTTGGAAACTGTGTAGAGCTGTACAAATAAAAGTGTGGGTAATTAACAAGGAGAACTCCAGTGGGTTCCACATTCTCTAATGCCCAGCCCTTGGCCTGTGTGCCAGCACCCCCTCCCAACTCCTTGAAGAGCTACTATTAAAAGAGTTTCCCTTTTGGTTTGTTTTTTTTTTTTTTTTTTTTGAGATGGAGTTTCGCTCTTGTTACCCAGGCTGGAGTGCAATGGCGCGATCTCGGCTTACCGCAACCTCCGCCTCCTGGGTTCAGGCAATTCTCCTGCCTCAGCCTCCTGAATAGCTGGGATTACAGGCACGCACCACCATGCCCAGCTAATGTTTTGTATTTTTAGTAGAGACGGGGTTTCACCATGTTGACCAGGATGGTCTCGATCTCTTGACCTCGTGATCCACCCGCCTTGGCCTCCCAAAGTGCTGGGATTACAGGCTTGAGCCACCGCGCCTGGCTCCCTTTGGTTTTGAAAGATGTTTTTTATAATGCATAGTGCATTAGAATAATAACAACTAAGAGCATAGAGAGGAATGTGGCACACCCAGTGAGATTAACACAGATAAGGAAGCAAGGTCTAAGACAGGCCACATAGGGTGACCTTGGGATGCCATACAACAAGAAACATCATAACCTCCCTGCTTAGATGGCCGGCATAAGCAAAGCTGCCACAAGAGCCTGATGGAGGAGGAGGAACCATGCCCAGCCATTCCCACACAGGCTCAGGAGCAGGGCAGCTAGGTACGTGTTGGAGAAATGCTGTTTGTCTTTGACTCACCCATGTTCTGAGTGAGCCTTTTGGCCCAGTTTCAGAAGCAGGTCAAACCACAGTGAGCAGAGGTGGGGCTTAGGGAGGCAGGAGTCTTGGGGCATTATAAAGCCCTGCTGGGCACTGCTGGACATCTCTTTCAACGTCTGTGAACTGCTGGCTCTCTGCTTGATCTTCTGGAGATGCAGCGTCTGTTGACTCCAGTGAAGCGCATCCTGCAGCTGACAAGAGTGATGCAGGAAGCCTCCCTCACACCTGCTCGCCTGCTCCCAGCAGCCCACCAAAGGTAAGTCCCTTTTTGAGATGCATATTGCAACTAGTAAAAGATAGGCAGAGGGCCTGCTATTGGGGAAAACTCACTAGAATCCCACTCTTGTGCACGGCAGCCTTAGACAAGCAAGTTAACTTTACAGGATCTCGGTGACCTCACGTCTAAACAAACGGTCCCTTTCAGCTAGAGAATAAGAGCCCAAATCTCTGACACATGCTGTGTTTGTGAGCAATGGCGTCTTTTACTCTGCCAGCTGCATGACGCAGCAGAAATACCAGTACCAGGGCCAGAGCTCCTCTGTCTCCACCACCATTCCCACCTTTACCGCCAGCCTCTGCCAAGAACCCCAGGACTCTGTGCTAACTACAGTATTAGCAAAACCTTTAAATCACAGCAGCAAGATCAGAAATGGACTAGGGATAAGAAGCTATGTTTGCCTTGTGTTCCAATTTTATGAAAAAGGGAAGTGTGGCCAGGTGCGGTGGCTCACGCCTATAACCCCAGCACTTTGGGAGGCCGAGGCGGGTGGAACACAAGGTCAAGAGATCAAGACCATCCTGGTCAACATGGTGGAACCCTGTCTCTACTAAAAATACAAACATTAGCTGGGCATGCTGGCGCACGCCTGTAGTCCCAACTACTCAGGAGGCTGAGAGGCAGGAGAATTGCTTGAACCCAGGAGGCGGAGGTTGCGGTGAGCTGAGATCACGCCACTACACTCCAGCCTGGGTCACAAGAGTGAAACTCTGTCTCAAAAAAAAAAAAAAGAAAAGAAAAAAGAAAAGAGAAGAAAAGGGGAAGTGTGTGTTTATGTGTTTATATGCACATGTGTTCTTTGCAAGAACACACACATTCCTTTCCTTTGTAAATACTCCCTGAATGGGGTCCAGATTCTTATGTTTTCCATCATCAGTGATGATGGCGCCACAGCTACTGTTAGTGCCTCAGGCTCCCCCCACCTATGAGTTGCTGTCTAGTCCCCAAACCATCTGCTAGACATTGGACCGAGTCCTTATTTCCTTATATTTTTACTCTATATCCTACAACTACTAAATATTTAGCAAAGTGATTTTGATCTAATGTCTTCCCTTGCCCAGTACCCAGGGAACCTGGGTAGTAAGTGTGCATGGTACATGGCTGATGCGTGTAGCTTTCTCATTTTCTTCATTATGCCACCGTCATCTCACTCTTCCTACCCACTGCCAAACCACTGCATGTGGGTTAAATGTCCCAGCTCTGAATTTAGCCTGTTTCGATATTTGCGAGGAAGAGATGGATGTGGGTTTGCTTGTTTCAATAGCAATAGCTGGCCATCAGCCAAAAGACACACAGCTATCCTCCCCAACATTCTGACTTACTTTATTCAGACTCTTGGAATCCTCATTCACATTTCCTTTCTGGGGTATTCACAGTTAATCCCATTATGCATGGCTTGAACTAATATTGCTTTATATGAGTCATCTTTTCTCTATATGTCTTATCGCCTTTAATCCAATCCACATGGGCTCTAACTGCAACCTAAAAGTGACTTCCATCTCGGCATCTGCTTTGCTGCCTTCAAAATTAAGTAAGACTTGTGCCCGCCACTTCGTTTATTTCTCACACACACACCTGTATCTCCAGGGTTCCTTACCTGTTCAGTCACCCCCTGCTGTGGCCACCGCCCCTTCGTTCCCTCCAGTTCTTTGCTGGCAGAAGTTTGTCATCCATCAAGGTTGGCCTCAAATGCAGCCTCTTTCATGAAGCTTCCCCGATCCTCCAACACACTGAAATCTCTGCTTCCTTTGAACCCGTGTGGATTTTGCCCATATCCCTCTCGTGGCCCTGACCATGTGTGCTTATCATTCCTCACACTGATGAGAGAGGTCTCAAGAACCTTGCCCTCGTTTCTTTGTTCAACGCTCACAACCCCTCCCCAGCACGGTGCCTGAAATGTAGCAATTAATTTTGAAACACAAGGGCAGGAGTCAGGATAGAATACAGAAGTAAAGGCATGGTGAATGTTCTTGAAGTAGGCAACACCAGTAGAAAAATGATTTCAAATTACACAAAGTGATCATTTTTCAGAGAAAGCACCAGAAGAGAAGGATAGTCTTAACTATGATGCTTCTGGAAGCCTCTACATGTTAACTTTCTTCAAGGCTTTACAATCCATTTCTAGAAACAGCTCTCCACCAAGACAGCTACAGAAGTGACCAGCTGACCCGTTGTAAGTGTCTCCTTGCAAGCGTAGATTTCTAACTGGGAAGAAAGCGGGGGAGTCAGCCCAGAGAAGGCACAGGAAGAACGAGGTTGGGAGAAAGGCAGGCTCCCTGGCAGGACAATCTCGGGCTAATCATTAGCTCCTCGGTGTTGGGGGAGCTCCTCCGTAAATATTTGAGGGTGCGAACTCCAGATATCTAGAGGGCATCAAATAAATAGGGCAGATAAATAAACTCCAAACCTCTCCTGTCAGATATAACGTATTATTTATCACTTTACTTGCTATCTTGTGATCATATGATCCACTTGTGCCTCACAGCAGACCTTAAAAGTGACCTTCCTGATGGGAGAACTGGGGATAACAGAGGCTCAGAATCCCGAAGATGACTGAAGACGCATTTAATGAGTTCCAGCTCCTGTACAATGGAGCTAAATTTATAAGCCTGGCACCCAAGGCAGTGAAGGGACAGAATATTTCTAACACGTGAGGAACCGTGAAGTTACTCTGAGTGCATCACTTTACCAGTGTGTACCTTGGTTTCACTATCTGTAAAATGAAGAATGTTGCTAAAGTGAACAGGAGGTATAAAGTACATTCATATGGGAGGTGAACTTGGTGATCTCTGTCCTTGTAGCTGGGAGAAGAAACTCCAGATTTTTGCCAGGGCTATTAAGAGTCTGGGTTGAAGAGACGCAGATGGGTCCAGAAAAGAAATAAATCATCTCTTTCCTATCCTACTCTTTCTCCTTTCTTTCTTTCTCTGCTGTCACATAGAATTGCTATTTATGCTCTCTGTGTTCCCTGCATATTTAGCTGTTAAAACATCTCCCTCTTCCACTGGGCTGTGCTCTCTTTTCTTTTCTTTTTTTTTTTTGTTTGTTTTCTTTTTTTGAGACGGAGTTTCTCTCTTGTTACCCAGGCTGGAGTGCAATGGCGCGATCTTGGCTCACCCCAACCTCCGCCTCCTGGATTCAGGCAATTCTCCTGCCTCAGCCTCCCGAGTAGCTGGTATTACAGGCACACGCCACCATTGGGCTGTGCTCTCTTTATGGGCATAATGCATGCCTTATTCACTATTGTGTATCTGGATTTGAACTCAAATCCAGATTTGTTGGGTGTGCTCAATAAACATTGGAAGGCCCAATCAGAAAAATCAGCTAGCAAAAAATTTACTTAAAAGGTAGGAAAGTGAGGCCAGGCGTGGTGGCTCACGACTGTAATCCCAGAGCTTTGGGAGGACAAGGCGGATGGATCACAAGGTCAAGAGATCGAGACTATCCTGGTCAACGTGGTGAAACCCCATCTCTACTAAAAATGCAAAAATTCACTGGGCATGGTGGCGCGTGCCTGTAATCACAGCTACTCAGGAGGCTGTGGATATGTTCTTGTGTAGAGAAAAGAAAGAAGAAGGAGAAAATTAGAGGTACACTTTAAAAATGTGTACAGATTGTACAGTTATGCCCTATAAGGGCTTATAACATGTAGAAGTAAAGTATATGACAATAATGGCTCAAAAGGATGAGAGAGCAAATGAAGTCAACCTAAAGTTTTGCAGTGTTCAAAAAGTAAAAGAAGTATTAATTTAAGTGAGATTGCAACAAGCCAGTTATGCATGTTATAATCTTTAAGGTCACCAGTAAAAGGAAAAGAGGGTATAAAATGAATAATAAATATTTGCATAATCAAAAAGAATATCAAAAATGAGGAATAAATGACAAAGAACAAATGAGACAAATAAAAACAAAAGAACATAGACTTAGTTCCAACTATATCTGTAATTACAACAAATACAAATGGATTAAATACTCCAATTAAAACATCACTATTGTAAGACTTACTAAAATTTTTTAAGGACTAAAAACATACACCCATTGCAAGAGACATATGCTAAAGATAAAGACTTTGAGAAGTTGAAAGTAAAAAGGGATGAAAAAGATACACCATGCAAATAGCCAAAAGCTAATGTAGCTGTATTAACATCAGGAAAGGAAATTTTATGCCAAGAATATAACAAAGGTAAAAAGGGGTATTTAGTAAGGATAAATGGGTCAATTCAATGAAAACCTATAACAATACTAAATTTGTAATCATCTGATAACATAGCTTCAAAATATATAAAAAATGAATTAAAGGATGGCTATATTACTGTCTTTTGAGAAAACTGTCTAAAGACCATTAGCGGGAGTTTGATATTTATCTCCATCACAGGTTTTCTACAGTCTCTGCTGTCCCCCTGGCCAAAACAGATACTTGGCCAAAGGACGTGGGCATCCTGGCCCTGGAAGTCTACTTCCCAGCCCAATATGTGGACCAAACTGACCTGGAGAAGTATAACAATGTGGAAGCAGGAAAGTATACAGTGGGCTTGGGTCAGACCCATATGGGTTTCTGCTCAGTCCAAGAGGATATCAACTCCCTGTGCCTGACAGTGGTGCAACGGCTGATGGAACGCATGCAGCTCCCTTGGGACTCCGTGGGCCGGCTGGAAGTGGGCACTGAGACCATCATTGACAAGTCCAAAGCCGTCAAAACAGTGCTCATGGAACTCTTCCAGGATTCGGGCAATACTGATATTGAGGGGATAGATACCACCAATGCCTGCTATGGTGGTACTGCCTCCCTCTTCAATGCTGCCAACTGGATGGAATCCAGTGCCTGGGATGGTATGTACTGCCACGAGCCTTACGTAAGAAAGGTGCTGGGATTGGAGCCTGAATATTATCAGTTTTGCTTTTCAGTTCCCCAGGTGGCCTCATCCAGTGAGGGAAGGACAATATATTCACACAGCTGCTGTTATCATCCAGCAGTAACCACTTAGACATACGTAGCTTTACACAGTTAGTTAGGTAGCATGTCCACACAGCCATTCATTTCATAATTCTTACAATAGCCTTGGAAGTATGGATTATTCCAGATTTATAGATGAGAGCATGGAAATCTGATATCACACACAATGAATGGCAGAGGCAAAAACACCAAACCATATTCAATATATTGGAGATGTCAAGAGGAGTTGAACAGTTTCTCTCTGTTCATGCAGCAAGACAGTGCAATTCCGGAAGTCCATTCTGTGCTTTTCCAACTGCCCTACCTGGCTCCATCATTAACAGTTCCACTGACATAGAATGATCCCGTCTACATCATCAAATCTGTTCTTAAAGTGCCTCTCCTACTTGATACTTGTATTTCTACTCTCTAGTAGCCCCTACTGCCATTATCACCATTGATATGTCCAAACAATTGTTTAGTTGAGGAATAGAGATGAAAAATAAGGGACATTACCAGCCTTTAACCGAAAATCAAAGAGCCTATCCTTGGGAGCATTGTCAATCTTTTTTTTTTTTTTTTTTTTTTTTTTTTTTGAGATGGAGTTCCACTCTTGTTACCCAGGCTGGAGTGCAATGGTGCGATCTCGGCTCACCGCAACCTCCGCCTCCTGGGTTCAGGCAATTCTCCTGCCTCAGCCTCCTGAATAGCTGGGATTACAGGCACGCACCACCATACCCAGATAATTTTTTGTATTTTTAGCAGAGATGGGGTTTCACCACATTGACCAGGATGGTCTCGATCTCCTGACCTCGTGATCCACCCGCCTCGGCCTCCCAAAGTGCTGGGATTACAGGTGTGAGCCACCATGCCTGGCCCAATCTTAAGCATGTCATTTCAAATGAGTGGACTCTTCTGAGGGGCTGGGTATTCCACAGATGGGGGCTGCAAATACATTTTTTGTTTAATATGGTATCTTGGTATAAAAAGAAAAAAAAAAAAACAAGTTGTTAAAATGTGAATTTTTAGTTGATATTTAAAACAAAAACACTTAAGCTTAGCCTGAACACTCGGACTACATGCCCTGCAGGTGACAGCAACCACCAGGACCAAAGGACGCCAGCGTGAGTGAAAACTCTCCTTCTGACTTAGCCAGTCATTCACCTGGGGACCCTCAGGTGGGACGGGGTGGCTCTGAGACTCAGGGAATACTGAAGCACTCCAGAGAAAAGAGGAGGGGATGAAGAAAGAGAAGAGGCGTTCTGGCACAGATTGGCTGGGAGTCCCCATGTTTTCTTGTCATTTTCTTAAAAAAAATGAAAGTAATTAAAATTTATATTAAAAAATCGTACACATACACAAAAGTATAGAAAGCGAAGAAAACTTCTCATTTGAGTCCCCATTACCACTTTCCAGAATTCAACAATGGCTGCTATGTATTCTTCCAATATTTCTTCTAGGTTCCTTCAAGTATACACATATCTATTCTGTTTTAAACATTGTACAAAATAATTCCCATCTCTTTTGACTTAGAGACAATTCTGTATCAATATATAGAAGGTCCATCTGATTCTTTTTAAAAACCACAATATTCTACTGATGCATATGCAAAATTTTACTTAATTAGTCCCATATTGATGGATACTTAGATTTTTTGCAATGATAAATAAGGTTTTAATGAACATTGTACAATAGCTTTGTACACTTGTGGCATTGTATTATAAGAATATATTCCTAAAAGTGGAATATCAGAATAGGTTGATTTAAAAGTTTGAGAAAATGTGCAAAATTCTCCAAAATGTTGTACTAACTTAAACTCCTACAATGTATATATCATTAAGCTTTCTAATCTTTGTCTGTTTAACAAGTAAAATTATAATGTTTTTGATTTGCCTTTCTTATTTTAAGAAATTATTATTATAGCCGGGCACGGTGGCTCACGCCTGTAATCCCAGCACTTTGGGAGGCCGAGGCGGGTGGATCACGAGAGATCGAGACCATCCTGGTCAACATGGTGAAACCGTGTCTCTACTAAAACTACAAAAAATTAGCCGGGCATGGTGGCGCATGCCTGTAATCCCAGCTACTCAGGAGGCTGAGGCAGGAGAATTGCCTGAACCCAGGAGGCAGAGGTTGCAGTGAGCCGAGACCATGCCATTGCACTCCAGCCTGGGAAACAGGAGTGAAACTCCGTCTCAAAAAAAAAAAAAAGAAATTATTATTATAAGAAATATTGAATATTTTTATGTTATTTATTGGCCATTTTTCTATTATATAGCTTGCCTTTTTAATGAAACTTTTATAAAAGAAGATAAATTGCTTTTTGTTGATTGGAAATACTGCAAATACTTCCCCAGTTTGTCTTTTGACTTTGTTTCCGATGGAAGGCTTTGATATTTAGGTAATCAAATTTACTGTTCTTTTCCTAAATGGATTCTAAATACTTTTCTGTAGTTTCTAAAGTTTTCAAAATGTGTGTGAGTGTGTGTGTGTGTGTGTGTGTGTATACACGTAAAAAAGTATCATTTTTCCCTTAATTTTATGCATATAAAAATTATATATACTTAAATATATATTTATATGTATTAAATATACCAATTTACTTATACTAATATAGTTGTATAACTAAATATTTACTTGCATATCTATATTTTATACAGATATAAATTTTTTATATATTACATATATATAAATACACATGTGCAGATGACATTGTGGAAGAAAACAATACTTTTTCATTGATGTTGGAGTTGGGATTGTTATAATTCTTAAGAGAAGGTCCCTGGATTTCAGTGAATTTGGGTTGGAGTCCTGACTCTGAATCCTTATCCTACCATTTATTAGCTATGTGGTTTTTGGGCAAGTGGCTTAAAATCTTTAGGCCTCAGTTTCTTCATCTGTAGGATGGGGATAACTATATCTACTATATAGATTTATCACGAGGATTAAATTATATGGAAATATGACTCCCAATGTAGTGCTGTGGGTGAATACTGGGAGCTTCCTCACAGGTCAGAATACTAAAATTACTACCATATCTTACCCACAGACTTGAGTTTTGGGGACAGTACTTCTGACGGATAAAAGCAGAACAAATAATAGTCAAGACCCCAACTATTTATCGAATCCTTGTCTGAGTATCATATAGTTATTGACTATGGATCATTAATAAACATAAACTCTTTTCACAATGAATGTAGTACCAAGCAATTCAAGGAATGTGGTTCAGGACCCAGTCAGGACTGGGTTTGAATATCAAAATCCATATTCACTGGGTATGTGACCTTTCACTAGTTACTCAGTCTCTCAGGAAGGCAAGGTCTTCACTCATGAATGTGGCTGTTACCTGCCCCATCGGATTATTTAAAGAGTTGTTTAAGGCCTATAATCCCAGCACTTTGGGAGGCTGAGGCAGGTGGATCACGAGGTCAAGAGATCGAGACCATCCTGGCCAACATGGTGACACCCCGTCTCTACTAAAAATACAAAACATTAGCTGGGCATGGTGGCGCGTGCCTGTAATCCCAGCTACTCAGGAGGCTGAGGCAGGAGAATTGCCTGAACCCAGGAGGCGGAGGTTGCGGTGAGCCCAGATCGCGCCATTGCACTCCAGCCTGGGTAACAAGAGCGAAACTCCGTCTCAAAAAAAAAAAAAAAAAGAGTTGTTTAAGGATAACTAGTGTTCTATTAGTGTTTTAAATGCAGTGTTTTAAATTCAGTTTCCCTCCCTGTCCTTTACCTTCTATGATTTGGGAAAGAATTTCAGGATCATGGAGCGCTAGAAGGAGACCTGAATTGTCTCTAAAAGTGCAAATTAACACATTTTTCACTGAAGTCAGAGACAGAATTCTGAATAAATGAGCATTTTACAGCTAGAGTGTCAGGACACTAAATTTTGACTTTGCATTTCAAATGTATCATGAAATGCACTAGAACATAAGCTCCACAGGACTGGGATTTTTTATTTTGTTTACCACTGTATATCCAGCACCTAGAATTGTGCCTGGTATACAGTACAGACTCAGTCTACTCTAGATGTGGTAGTGATGCTAATTATTTCTTGTTTCTCTTTACAGGTCGCTATGCGATGGTGGTCTGTGGAGACATCGCCGTCTATCCCAGTGGTAATGTTCGTCCCACAGGTGGGGCCGGAGCTGTGGCCATGCTGATTGGGCCCAAGGCCCCTCTGGCCCTGGAGCAAGGTTTGTAGTAAACCATTACCAAAAGGCTGTGCATAGCATAGCCAGGAACATTCACCCTCATCCCACATTGGCACATCTACTATGCAGGGCTGAGGTATGGGTTTGAAGATGGTATTGCTTGCCTCCAAAAGGCTGATCTAAGGAGCAGAGGGAGGAAAGGAGAAATGAGGGAGGGAAATCCACAAGGTTTTCTGTCTTGCATCATCAGGCATTGGGACAGTGATGGAATGAGTGGTGCGGGTGCTGGTGAGGGGCCTTAGGGACTCTTCTGGCAGTCGAAGGTTCAGGAAGATAACTGGGTGTAAAGTGACACTCTTTCCTTTGAGACTGATGGTTTCCATTCCAGTTTTTGTTAAGCCCATGCAGGTGAGGAAAGGGAAACAGACAACTTATTTGTGTGATGTTAACAACCTGTCCACCTCCTTTTGAATACGCGAGGGATGTCGAGTGGTCTTGCACTTGGGCATGGGACACAGATAATGACCAGAAAGCTCTTTTTACGTGGTTCTCTCATCCTTTGTGCTCAAGGTAGGGTGCATTGTGTAGTCTCTGAAAGCCTCTGTGTGCCTTTCCAGGGCTGAGGGGAACCCATATGGAGAATGTGTATGACTTCTACAAACCAAATTTGGCCTCGGAGTACCCAATGGTGGATGGAAAGCTCTCCATCCAGTGCTACCTGCGGGCCTTGGACCGATGTTACGCAGCATACCGTCAAAAAATCCAGAATCAGTGGAAGCAAGGTATGGAGTTCACAGGCCAAAAAGTGGGGGCTCTATTTATAGGCCAAGGGTTTGTACCCAAACGCTATGACAAGGTCTCTTCTTTCCTTCCCTGAAGATAATGTCAAGAGAATTGTTTCCTCTCTTTCTTACACTCTTCCCTGGGTCTACGCTAAAATCCCGTGGGACATCATTCAAGTTCAGGTGTAAAATTGCTTCTAACTTGAGCTAAATAAAAGAACGGAAACAATCCAGGGCAAGGCCCCCACTATGAAACCAAGGGGTGTCAGCCACCTGGGGAAATGGTGTTAAGAGGCCAGGCAACAACATTCTACAGGGTTGGCATTTGTTTCTGTTTAAGTCAGGCATGGTTTGGCTCTTGGTTTATACTTGCCCATTTTCTAAAGTCTGATGTTGAGAAATCATACTTGTATTTTCTTTTTTTTTTTTTTTTTGAGACGGAGTTTTGCTCTTGTTACCCAGGCTGGAGTGCAATGGCGCGATCTCGGCTCACCGCAACCTCCACCTCCTGGGTTCAGGCAATTCTCCTGCCTCAGCCTCCTGAGTAGCTGGGATTACAGGCACGCGTCACCATGCCCAGCTAATTTTTTGTATTTTTAGTAGAGACGGGGTTTCACCGTGTTGACCAGAATGGTCTCGATCTCTTGACTTCGTGATCCACCCACCTTGGCCTCCCAAAGTGCTGGGATTACAGGTGTGAGCCACCGCGCCTGGCCATACCTGTATTTTCTATATGCTAAAGTGTGATCAGTGATTTTTCTCTTAGTGATGGTATACAGGTTGATTTTAGTTTCACCTTTAGTTTTGGAATTTCCCTGCTGAGAAATATGTACTGCTTCTATAAGCAGAAAATAAGCAAATGAATCTTCGTTTTAAAATACAGAGAAGCAGGGAGTGGTAGCTCACGCCTGTAATCTCAGCACTTTGGGAAACTGAGGCAGGAGGCTCTCTTGAGCCCAGGAATTTGAGACCCATGTGGGCAACAAAGCAAGACCCTCTCTCTAAAAAAAAAAAAACAAAAAAAAAAAATACAAAATTAGCCAGGCATGAGCCTGTAGTCCCAGCTCCTCAGGAGGCTTGAGGTGAGGGTAATAGTTTGAGACCAGGAGCCCATGCCGTGAGCTATGATAAAGTGACTGCCCCCAGCCTGGGCTACAGGGTGAAACAAACCCTGTCTCTAAAAACACATATAAATAAGAGAAAATAAAATACAGTTAAACTCACTTTAAAGAAATAAATAGTATTCCTACCTGCTCAGGCATGCCCAGATGGGCATCTGCAGAAGACAGATGGCAGTGTGGGAGAAGGTGTGGATGCCTTGGGGACAGCATAAAGAGCTGCCCCTTGTCCTTTCCTCTGCACTGGGTGGGGTGCCACCTGCCTGCCGGATGTGAGCCTCATGGGTAAGAATTTGCCTTGGGCCTCTCTGCCTCTGTCTGTCACTGTAATTTCTTATTTGCTCTTAACGCCTCTGAACTGTTGTGGCATTTAAGTTTTACTCCTTATCTGCATATGTTGTGTGGCAGATGCTGCTTTGAATCCCAGCACTAAAATGTAAACTTTCCCAAGGGCAGAGATCACATGACTCTCCTCTTCAGAGTGAGAGAGACAGTCTGTAATGCAGAGTCCGAGACATCTGAACCTGAATCCAAAGCCAGCCTTTTTAAAGTTGGATGACCTGGGACAGATGAGAGTGTTTTGGAGGCTGGTTCCTCCTCTGGACAGCGAAAAAAATTATATAACACAAGGCTGATATGAGACAAGCATCCTACAGGCTGGCAGTAGTAGATACAAATACTTCGCTTTTTTCCCTTCTTGTTAGTAGTGAATGCTTACTAAGAGCATGTAAAATGAATAAACAAAGCTGATATGGGTTTGTCGGAGGTGGGAAGTAGTTCCCGGGAAGGCCTGGAGAAACTCAGCACAGTTAAATCTCAGGGAAGAGATCTAAATGGCTCATTCCTCCTGAGCCATCCTTGCATTCATGTTTCCTTTTCCAGCTGGCAATGATCGACCCTTCACCCTTGACGATTTACAGTACATGATCTTTCACACACCCTTTTGCAAGATGGTCCAGAAGTCTCTGGCTCGCCTGATGTTCAATGACTTCTTGTCAGCCAGCAGGGACACACAGAGCAGCTTATATAAGGGGCTGGAGGATTTCAGGTGAGTCCTCTTCTCAGAGAGCCTAGAGGCTAGTAGGGGATGAGCAAGAAGGAGGCTCCCTCATGCCTTGAGTCTGGACCACCAGCATCCCTCTGGGGGACAGATAGCAATCCTCTACCACAACAGGAATGATCCCAAGTCCTTCCGCGGGGTAGTGGGTTATTGCCTGGGTAGGGGTCTGCATGTGTTATTGAAGGGAAACAAGGGGGACATGCCAGCAGTGCAGGATCAAGGGACTGTAAGAAACTGCAGAGAAGAAAGAAGGAAGGAAGGGAGGGAGGGAGGGAGGGAGGGAGGGAAGGGAAAAGAGAGAGGAAGGAAGGAAGGAAGGAAGGGAGGGAGGGAGGGAGGGAGGAAGGATGGAAAGGAGGGAGGGAGGGAAGAGAAGGAAAGAAGGAAAAGAGGAAGGAAGGAGAAGGAAGGAAGGAAGGAAGGAAGGGACAGAGGAAGGAAAGAGAAGGAAGGAAGGAGAAGAAATGAAGGAAGGAGAAGGAAGGAGGGAGGGAGGGAAGGAAAGGGAGGGAGGAAGGAAGGAGGGAAGGAAGGAAGGAGGGAAAGGAGGGTAGCTAAATTATTCAGTCAATCAACATTTTCTGAACATGTTATGTGCCAGACATTGTACTAACCTCTCAGGATACTGGGATGAATGTGACTCCATGGTCCCTGCCCTAGAGGATCTCACAGTCGATCCAGACACAAACACAGAGAAGCAAATGATCACACTAGAGGGCAGCAGTTTGAGAAGCATCAGGTCTCATTCTCACTTGTGGTTGTCTGAATTCATGCGCTGCTTTTGCTTCAGTTTCTCCCATCTGTAAAATGGAGATAGTCCATCTCACCCGCTTACACATGAAAAAGCAGGAAGAATGCTGTTTAGTAATTCTACACGAATACACTAATATTTAAAAGGAAATGTCTTCCATACAGTTTACACTAGGAAAGGAATCTTTCCCTTTCTTCTCAGTATCTTTTTATTTCAAATTGTGGTCAATTTTGTCAACAGTATAATAGGCTACCAACTGTAGCCACTGCTACTAACTAGTACTACTAAACCTGACACTAACTAAAACGTCGAAATTAGCACAAACATCCTTTATAGGACTGGCCCTATCGAAACAAAAAGTGTAACATACACCAAAGTTAATAGCTTAATATCTTTAATATATAAAGATATTATCAATGAAAAAATAAATACCCTAGTCGAAAAACGAGCAAAGGATACAAACAGAAAAAGAAGAAATGTATGTAATCACATTTTAAATGTGAAGATTCATTAATAAAAAGTTTATTTAAGTTACCATTTTCTCGACATAGTCTTTTTAAAATGGGAATACCCAGAATTGTCAAGGCTATGGGTAAACGGGCAGTAGTGGCTGTATAAATGGATCAGATGTTTTAAGAAGTAATAGGAGGACATGAAGCAAAAGCCTTAACGATGTGCAACCTTTGAGCTCAGTAATCCCACGTTTAAAAGAACACCTATTGCCAGGCGCGGTGGCTCACGCCTGTAATCCCAGCACTTTGGGAGGCCGAGGCGGGTGGATCACAAGGTTAGGAGTTCGAAACTAGCCTGGCCAAAATGTTGAAACCCCATCTCTACTAAAAATACAAAAATTAGCTGGGCGCGGTGGCACGTGCCTGTAATCCCAGCTACTCAGGAGGCTGAGGCAGGAGAGTTGCCTGAACCCAGGAGGCGGAGGTTGCCATGAGCCGAGATCGCGCCATTGCACTCCAGCCTGGGTAACAAGAGCGAAACTCCGTCTCAAAAAAAAAAAAAAAAAAAAAAAAAAAAGGAAGTATGCTGACCACAACACATAGCATGATTTTTTTTTTTTTTTTTTTTTTTTTTTTTTTTTTTTTTTTTTCTGAGATGGAGTTCCGCTCTTGTTACCCAGGCTGGAGTGCAATGGCGCTATCTCAGCTCACCGCAACCTCCGCCTCCTGGGTTCAGGCAATTCTCCTGCCTCAGCCTCCTGAGTAGCTGGGATTACAGGCGCACACCACCATGCCCAGATAATGTTCTGTATTTTTAGTAGAGACGGGGTTTCACCACGTTGACCAGGATGGTCTCGATCTCTTGACCTCGTGATCCACCTGCCTCGGCCTCCCAAAGTGCTGGGATTACAGGCTGAGCCACCGCGCCCGGCCAGATTTTTTTTTTTTTTTAATTTTCCAGTAAACTGTATAAAAGTAGGGATGGATTTCACAAGAAAACTATGCCCTAAGTGCTCTCTCTGAATAGTAAGACTATTTGTGGTATGTTCGCCTTTGTGCTCTTCTGTATTTCCAAATATTGTAGAAAAAAACATGCCCCGAAAGTCTTCTCCCCAGAAGCTGTTACTTTTCCCCTCCCCCTCCCTCCCTACCTGGTGTGGCCTTTCACTTGGATACCTCTGGCTGCCTCACAGGGGCCTAAAGCTGGAAGACACCTACAACAACAAGGACCTGGATAAAGCACTTGTAAAGGCCTCTCAGGACATGTTCAACAAGAAAACAAAGGCGTCTCTGTACCTCTCCACGCACAATGGGAATATGTATACCTCATCCCTGTACGGGTGTCTGGCCTCGCTTCTGTCCCAGTGAGTACTGTGTCTGGCTCCATGTCCTCCATGCAGCCCCAACCCCCATGGTCTGAGGGGTCAACCAAGTGGAGTTTCTCTTCTGGTTCAGACATTTAAAAGAAAGGAAGGGGCCTGGTGTGGTGGCTCATGCCTGTAATCTCAGCATTTGGGGAGGCTCAGGCGGGCAGATCACCTGAGCCTAGGAGTTCGAGACCCGTGAAACGTCATCTCTACAAAGCATGGTGGTATGCATAAGTGGTCCCAGCTACTCAAGGATGGCTTGAGCCCAGGAGTGGAAGGTTGCAGTGAGCTGTGATTGTGCCACTGGACTCCAACCTGGATGACAGAATGAGACCCTGTCATAAATAAATAAATAAAGGAATGGAGGGATAAGGCAGGACAAGAAGGAAGGAAGATGAGACACTCATTATCAAAGGTGTACGTAGAGGCAGATTTACAATCTGGATCAGACAGTGGTCACCAAAGTAAAGTACATGGTGTCAAGGCACGGGCAAGATCTTTCGGGTGCAGCAAAAAACCAGTAGCATTTGTATGCATATTTTTGTCTCATTTCTTTAAAATCTCTATCCTTAGTAGAGCATGGTGGTTAAATGGGTCTGACCTTAGAGCCCACAACCTGGGTCCAAATTTTTAAAATCACGTATGAGTGTTGACCTTGGACGATACTTCACTTCAGTGCCCCACTTGCCCCATCTGTAGATCATGTGCAGTCACAACACCTGTATTCTACTGTTTTCATGAGCATAAAGTATCTAAAATAGCAGTGCTTAGCAGGTGCTCAAATGTTAGATGCTATTTCTATTCATTTTCTGTTTTGTGGGCTTTATAAGGAAATACTGCATATAAATAGGAAGGGGCTAGGGGAGGTGGTTCATGCCTGTAATCCCAGCACTTTGGAAGGCTGAGGCAGGAGGATCTCTTGAGCTCAGGGGTTTGAGAACAGCCTGGGGAACAGACCCCATCTCTACAGATTTTTTTAGAACAATTAGCCATGGATGTGTGTGAGCTGCAGAGGTGGTTCGCGCCTATAATACCAACAGTTTGGGAGGCCAAGGCGGGAGGATCACCTGAGATCAGGCGTTTGAGACCAGCCTGGTCAATGTGGCAAAACCCCGTCTCTACTAAAAACACAAAACATAGCCGGGTGTGGTGGTGGGCGCCTGTAGTCCCAGCAACTCGAGAGGCTGAGGCATGAGAATAGCTCGAACCCAGGAGGTGGAGGTTGCAGTGAGCTGAGATTATGCTACTACACTCCAGCCTGGGTGACAGAGTGAGACTCTGTCTCAAAAAAATAATAAGAATAAAAATAAAAATTATCTTGTACCTGTGGTCCCAGCTACCAAGGATCCTGAATCCTGAGGTGGTAGAATCACTTAAACCCGGGAAATCAAGGCTGCAGTGACCCATGATCACACCACTGCACTCCAGCCACTCCGGGCTGGACAGCAGAGCAAGACTCTGCCCCCCCCCCAAAAAAAAGGCAGGAAAAAGTACTTCTGGGTGGACTTGATCATATTACTTATAGGGGATGATCAAAAGTTATGACTGCTGAACCATTACCTGTCAGCATGGGAGCCTGGAGGGTGAGTCCAGTGGTCTGGTCCTCATTTGGAAGCACTTTCAGAATGCACTGAATTTATCTTGTCCCCACGAGAAGGGAGAAGCTCTATGTACACCAAAAATTCTCTTGTGTTTTCTGTGTCTTGTTGATCTTGGATCTTAGCTGCTTTCCTTTTGGCAAGCTTTCCTACTCCTAGACCTGTCCCTGGTGTCTACCAGAAATCCCTGTGGATGTAGTTAGACAAGAAGGAGATAGACAGGAGATAGACATGAGATAAACAGGAAGGAGATTGGGGTGATAGGGTGATGTCCTATTTGAAGTGCAGAATATAATCCAATATGTTTTTTATGTGATTTCTTTCCCCCCAGCCACTCTGCCCAAGAGCTGGCTGGTTCCAGGATTGGTGCCTTCTCTTATGGCTCTGGTTTAGCAGCAAGTTTCTTTTCATTTCGAGTATCCCAAGATGCTTCTCCAGGTGAGTCCTATCTTTCCAGTAGGCATTCCTGACAACATTCATCTGGTAGAATAAACCATCTTCTTCCCCACCATTCCTGAGGCTGCCATCTTGACGGAGTTATGTAAGAGCAAAGTGAAGCACTGAAGGGATTTAAGTATGGAGTGAGTTTATTTTATTTATGTTGTGTTTTTTTGTTTGTTTGTTTGTTTTTTGAGACGGAGTTTAGCTCTTGTTACCCAGGCTGGAGTGCAATGGCGCGATCTCGGCTCACCGCTACCTCCGCCTCCTGGGTTCAGGCAATTCTCCTGCCTCAGCCTCCTGAGTAGCTGGGATTACAGGCACGTGCCACCATGCCCAGCTGATTTTTTGTATTTTTAGTAGAGATGGGGTTTCACCATGTTGACCAGGATGGTCTAGATCTCTCGACCTCGTAATCCACCCGCCTCGGCCTCCCAAAGTGCTGGGATTACAGGCTTGAGCCACCGTGCCTGGCCTTATTTATGTTTTTAAAGCATTTCTTTGGCTACTACTTAGAGACTAGATTGAAAAGGAACAAAGGTGGATATGGGGAACCGCTTAGATTGTTCCAGTAAGTAGTTCAGGCAAGAGATAATGGTGGTTTGGTTGCAACTGATTAAAGAGAAGTTGATGGATTTGAGATGCCTGGTAAGAATCTGTTGATTATTTTGTGATTCATGTTATCAAAGACGTGCCAGGTGGCATACACCTTGGCCAAATCAGTGTGTCTTGCCTGTATGTTTTGCTGATAATGCTGCTTACTTATCATTTCTGGGTAAGCCACACACACAGCACTTCCCTCCAGGGTGCAGCGCCCCACAGAACCTGGCTCTCTGCTGGACTCGTGATTGGCCATGGTGATAGTGACAATGAAGAAGGTGTAACAGTCTTGCTTTGGCTTCCCAGGCTCTCCCTTGGACAAGTTGGTGTCCAGCACATCAGACCTGCCAAAACGCCTGGCCTCCCGAAAGCGTGTGTCTGCTGAGGAGTTCACAGAAGTAATGAACCAAAGAGAGCAATTCTACCATAAGGGTAAGAAAAAGGGCGGGAAGAGAGAAAGAGAAGGTAACTCATCTCAGATCCCATTCCAGTAGCCGGGAGCCGGGAATTCTTCAGAAATCTAGAATATAGTAGTCCAGGGTCAAGACTTTTATGAGATATGGTTGGAAGAAGACTTCTAGAAGATCTGTTGTTCAAAGGGGCAGGAAGTGGGTGGGGAAGCAGAAGGCAGAGGTGGGAAGAGGTAGGCGGAATGCAGCTTCCCGGTATAGATACAGCCAAACTCTCCGAATATTGTAGTACCGTGGGAACTGGAAAAGCAGTCTTTGAAAATGCTGTCTGCAACAGTTGAAAGAGTGGAGACTTTAGAACTAGATACCCAAAACTAACTCTGAGCTGTGCCACTTACTAGCTGTTTTTCTTTGCGAAAATTGTTGAACTTTTCTTCGTTGTCTTATTTTTAAAATCATACCGATTTTGCAGAATTTCCAAACAAATTAAATGAATTACTCTCTGTAAATATGTTATTGATGAATATTACTGTCTCCTCCAGATTGCCCTCTTTCGCCACCAAACATAGAAACAAAATATTGCCCCTAAAGCAGCAAATGGAGGGGAAATAAAACCCAAAGGGAATACTAGAGAGATTGGTGGGTGGTTTTAAAACCATGCTGATATAGTTTTACCATGGTTTATATCGGTTTTATGTATATTCTCAAGCAAAACTTGGGATATATGTTTTGCAGCATAGTTTCAAAAGGAGACACAGTAGATGGAATTGGAAATGTTCCAGAAAACCTATACCTAGTGGTCATTGATCTCTTCTGGACCAGTGGATATGTTATAGCAAAAAAAAAAAAAAAGAAAGAAAGAAAAGAAAAAGAAAAAACAATAAAAATGAAAATAGACCCAGGTTCAGTGGCTCATGCCTGTAACATAAGCCCTTTGGGAGGCCGAGGCAGGTGGATCGCTTGAGGTTAGGAGTTGAAGACCAGCCTGGCCAATATGGTGATACCCCATCTCTACTAAAAATTTAAAAATTAGCCGGGCGTGGTGGTGTGCACTTGTAATCTCAGTTACTTGGGAGGCTGAGGCAGGAGAATTGCTTGAACCCAGGAGGCGGAGATTGCGGTGAGCCGAGATCGCGCCATTGCCCTCCAGCCTGGGTAACAAGAGCGAAACTACGTCTCAAAAAAAAAAAAAAAAAAAAAGAGATCGAGACCATCCCGGTCAACATAGTGAAACCCCATCTCTACTAAAAATACAAAAAATTAGCTGGGCATGGTGGCGCGTGCCTGTAATCCCAGCCACTCAGGAGGCTGAGGCAGGAGAATTGCCTGAACCCAGGAGGCGGAGGTTGCGGTGAGCCGAGATCGCGCCATTGCACTCCAGCCTGGGTAACAAGAGCGAAACTCCGTCTCAAAAAAAAAGAAAAAAGAAAAATAGGGGCCGGGCGCGGTGGCTCACACCTGTAATCATAGCACTTTGGGAGACCAAGGCAGGAGGATCACAAGATCAAGAGATCGAGACCATCCTGGCCAACATGGTGAAACCCTGTCTCTACTAAAAAATACAAAAATTAGTTGGGTGTGGTGGCGCACACCTGTAATCCCAGCTACTCAGGAGGCTGAGGCAGGAGAAGAGAAATGCTTGAACCCAGGAGGCAGAGATTGCAGTGAGCCGAGATCGCGCCACTGCACTCCAGCCTGGCGCCTGGCGACAGAGCAAGACTCTGTCTTAAAAAAAAAAAAAAAGGAAAAGAAAAATAGGACCTCTGAGACAAACATTAATGGATAAAGCACTGAAATACTGCAATGAATCAGAACCAGAAAATTTAGAATTCAGAAGGAAGTGTCTGAAACAGGAAGTTGGGTAGTACATTTCAAAGCAGGAACTATTGGCAAAAGCCCCGTGGCAGAAGGCTATGTTTACCATAGGGAAATGTCGTACTCTTATAATAAAAGTCTTAAAGCCTTTTATTAAGGCCTTAAATGCTAGATTCAAGACGGCTGTACCTCCAGTTCTGAGGGCTGTACCTCCAGTTCTGCGGGTCCAGTGTTTTATTTGGTGGGCTAAGTGTGACCCGGTAGCTCCTTGCAGCACAGCCAGGAGAGCTTCACTGTGAGCTGCAGACATCTTCGTGACCACTTTCTCCTCCAACAACTCATGTAACTCTGTGAGTACTGCCTCTTCTCCTCATTCTGCAGTGAACTACTCCCCACCTGGTGACACAAGCAGCCTTTTCCCCGGTACCTGGTACCTGGAGCGGGTGGACGAGCTGCACCGCCGAACGTATGCCCGGCGTCCCGTTTAAACATGGTGAGTGAGGGTTTGCAGAGTTGGTGGCCTCAAACCCTAATGTCTTCCTCTGGGTCACGACACAGAGAGAGAGGGTGGGCACAGGCGTGGGGAGAAGAGAGTTCAGTGGAAGAGGATTGGGGTGAGCGGAGAAATGGGAGAATTGTGTGTGGTATTTTTAAAAGGAAAAGCAAATACTCAGAATAGGAATCTTGTAGTCTGGAAACATTAACTAGGCCAGGGAGGGTTCATAGCTTTCAAACTAATCAGAAGTGGGGGTTTGTGTCATGAGGACCAATTAAAACTCTTGGGGCTCTTTGCCTTGGAGAGGCAAAAGCTCTGGGGAGAAACATGTTCTGAAATCTTGAATGTGAAAAAAGAAAGAGTCAGATGTGTTTACCTGATCTGCTGAAGGTAGGAAGCTCTAGAAGCTTGACAGATGGGCTTTCAGAGCACCCAGAGAGTGAACAGGCTGTGAACCTGAATCTATAGCACTCATTACTCTAGGGGGATGAGAGCAGCCATTCTAATGAAAAACAGAACCACCAAGATGAGCAGCCCCAGAACCTTGGAAATGATACACATCAATGTGCTGGAGACTGATTCATATGGAAACAGGGTGGTTGAAGATTCTGTTAAAGCCAGGCACCTCCGCTGGAGGGAGTTTTAGGCTCAGGGTCATGTAGCAATTCTTATGTCATGGGATTCCTTCTGGGGAGAAGCAGTGAGGTTCAGGAAGTTCATGGAAACAGGGATAGGGAGAAGAGAGCGAAAAGAAAGAGGATTGCGGTGAGAGGAGAAATAGGAGGATTCTTTAGGATAGTTTTAAAAGGAAAGCGAACATTTAAAATAAATCCCATTTGACCCAGCAATCCCATTACTGGGTATATATCCAAAGGATTATAAATCATTCTACTATAAGGACACATGCACATGAATGTTCATTGCAGCACTGTTTACAATAGCAAAGACCTGGAACCAACCCAAATGCCCATCGATGATAGACTGGACAGGGAAAATGTGGTACATATACACCATGGAATACTATGCAATCATAAAAAACGATGGGTTCGTGTCCTATGTAGGGACATGGATGAACCTGGAAACCATCATTCTCAGCAAACTGACACAAGAAAAGAAAATCAAACACCGCGTGTTCTCATTCATAGGCGGGTGTTGAACAATGAGAACACATGGACACAGGGAGGGGAGCATCACACACTGGGGTCTGTTGGTGGTGGGGGAAATAGAGGAGGGACAGCGAGGGGTGGGGAGTTGGGGAGAGATAGCATGGGGAGAAATGCCAGATACAGGTGATGGGGAGGAAGGCAGTAAATCACACTGCCATGTGTGTACCTGTGCAACAATCTTGCATGTTCTTCACATGTACCCCAAAACCTAAAATGCAATAAAAATAAATAAATAAATAAATAAAATCTTGTAGGAACTCAGCTGCCCTCAGTAGACCAATTAGGTAGGATAAGCAGAATAATAGAGTGAGAAGAAATTCACTTTACAACCTATGAATCTTAATCGGTACAGTCTCCGTGTTCAAGTTTTTTTTTTTTTTTTTTTTTTTTTTTTTTATGAGAGGGAGTTTCGCTCTTGTTACCCAGGCTGGAGTGCAATGGCGCGATCTCGGCTCACCGCAACCTCCGCCTCCCGGGTTCAGGCAATTCTCCTGCCTCAGCCTCCTGAGTAGCTGGGATTACAGGCACGAGCCACCATGCCCAGCTAATTTTTTGTATTTTTAGTAGAGACGGGGTTTCACCATGTTGACCAGGACAGTCTTGATCTCTTGACCTCGTGATCCACCCGCCTCGGCCTCCCAAAGTGCTGGGATTACAGGCTTGAGCCACCGCGCCCGGCCGTGTTCAAGTTTTTAAAGTTTCCCCCTCCTTTTGGTAGATGGAGAGGGAAGAAGAAAAAGGTATGCCGCGGCAGAAAAGGAGCACAGGAAGGGAGGGGAGAAGTCAGTGGGTGACGGCCATGCACAGATGCAGCCACCTGAGAGGAAGCGGAAGTGCAGGGGGAGGGGCCCTGGCTTCATCCCTCACCACTGGGACGTTTGCAGGTTCGAGGCTGCTGCAGGTAGGTGGTGTTAGGGCTAGGAGAGGTGGACAGGCGGGCTGAGGGCCCCAGGATGCCGTGGAGAGGACGAGTCTCACTTAGCAGGCTCCGAGGACTGTGGCACTGCCTCGGAGCCAGTGTGCATGCTGGAAATATAGTTCTGAAGGGCAGATCAGAGGCAAAGAGGGGCTGTTAAGTGTGTCAACTCAGTTCAGTCATCAGAAGAGGAGTGAGGGAAATAGGGAGTGGGGGGGAAAGGGAGAGAGAGAGGTTGGGGAGAAAGTCAGAGGGAGGGGAAGAGAGAAAGAGGAATTCGGGTTTTTTTTTTTTTTTTTTTTTTTTTTTTGAGACGGAGTTTCGCTCTTGTTACCCAGGCTGGAGCGCAATGGCGCGATCTCGGCTCACGGCAACCTCCGCCTCCTGGGTTCAGGCAATTCTCCTGCCTCAGCCTCCTGAGTAGCTGGGATTACAGGCACGTGCCACCATGCCCAGCTAATGTTTTGTATTTTTAGTAGAGACGGGGTTTCACCATGTTGACCAGGATGGTCTCGATCTCTCGACCTCGTGATCCACCCGCCGCGGCCTCCCAAAGTGCTGGGATTACAGGCTTGAGCCACCGCGCCCGGCCGAATTTGGGGTTTTTAAGGGAGGATTTCCATGTCGGGCTCCCTCCCTCTCATGGTAGACAACCTTCTAAGTGCTTGGGCAGCATTATACCTGAAAAGGAAAGCAGAAACTTTTGAACTTTTTTCATGCTCATAATTCTTGTTAATATGAGCAGTGAACTTCCAACAATGATATTTTAGCAGACATGAAGGGCTGATGGCGATGCAGCGCTCTGTGGAGCTCTGCGGCTCTCTGCACCGTGCCAGCCTGCCCCTCCTGCTCTCCCATCACAGGAAGATGTGCGACGGAGACCCTGCCCAGCCCAGCCTTGGCTCTAGTAGCATTGGGCATGGATCCCTCAGGTGTCCAGGCTTGGCACTAGGTGCAGCGTGGGAGCACCCTCAGGGTCGTTAGGAAGGCCCTCTGTACAACCACACCTAGGGCAAGACGCAGGTACTGGGGGCAGGGTGCCCACGAGGAGCCCCTTGATTGAATGATCTTTTGTTTGTTTATGTTCTGCAGATCCGTGGAAAGGTTCCTGGGAAACGTATGCTAGCAAAGCTCTGCTCGTGCGTCATATTTTTAAGATCTCACTCTTAGCTGGTAGATGAATTTGAATCGACATAGCAGCCCGATAAGCATCAGCCTTGTAGAGTGAGGAGCCATCCCTAGTGGCCCTTCATTCCTTTCCCTGCTGTGATCACTGTCCTGGGCTTATAGTGCTACGGACTAGGGGTCCTTTGTGAAAGAGCAAGGTGGAGCAATGGAGAGAAGTCGTCTTCCTGAATCACTGGCCTCCAGAAATGTGCAGCTCAGCTGTTGCCTTCAAGATCCAGATAAACTTTCCTGTCACGTGTTATAACTTTATTATTACTAATATTATTAAATTTCTGTGCTATTATATCTCTGTTCATTTCTTACGGCTTTCTGTGAATCTCCAAATTTTGTGTCTCGTTCTAAGCAAATGTATGGCAATTAAAAAGAGAGAAAGAGGAAATGACTCCTGTGTTTCTTGAAACTCAGAATACAAAGCCAGGTAACATTCGGCAGCCCTGCTAGAGACCTCCTGGATCGGAGGGCTGGGTCCTCGCCTCGCAGGCTGCCTCTATCCCTTCGCAATTCCATTCTGTTTCTGCCACAGGCCAAGTACTATGACAGATACAAGGCAAATCGGAATGGTAGAACACAGCTTCCCTAGCCCACTTCCCTGATCTAAAGACACCGCACAGAGAGCAGCACGCAGGGGCCAGCGGGAGCTGTAGTTCAGATCTTTTGGTCACTTCTTACCACTGCCATTTGAACAAATAAACAAAGGGCGAAGGTTCACAAGTTTTCGCCTTCTGCAGCCAAAAATTAAAGAAATAAATTTTGAGGCCGGGCGCGGTGGCTCAAGCCTGTAATCCCAGCACTTTGAGAGGCCGAGGCGGGTGGATCACGAGGTCAAGAGATCGAGACCATCCTGGTCAACAAGGTGAAACCCCGTCTCTACTAAAAATACAAAAAATTAGCTGGGCATGGTGGCGTGTGCCTGTAATCCCAGCTACTCAGGAGGCTGAGGCAGGAGAATTGCCTGAACCCAGGAGGCAGAGGTTGCGGTGAGCCGAGATCGCACCATTGCACTCCAGCCTGGGTAACAAGAGCGAAACTCCATCTCGGAAAAAAAAAAAAGAAAGAAAGAAATTTTGATGGCAGGAAATTGTTCCATGAGAAGGTCTTTCCCCCTTGGGTGAGGGCACTCCTTCTTCTAGGGTCCTCTTATAAAATAGCAATGGTTCCCACGGATGGGCATTGAGCCGAGGAGGGAAGGGGGAGGAGAGGGAAAGTATTTGGGTATCCTAATTCATTTCCTTTTAGAAAGTTTCCCCAGCCACCCCATGAGGAAAGGGCACCTTGGAAAAGAGAGGGGATCCTTTCCATGGGTGGGGAACAGAGGTGGTGGGGGCCGGGCAGGGGGCCCCACAGGAATGAGAAGATGGGTGGGCCTGGTCCCTTCACGGTTTTGCTCAAGGCTGTTCATGTCACGACCGACACCAGCAAATCCCAGATCGGCCCTGATTTGTGCAGCGAATCTAGAATCAGCTGACTGCCTTCCCAGGCCTCTCTGAAGGTGCCTGCCAAATGCTGCTCATCACACCGGCTGCAGCCGCTGCAGGGTAGCCCCTCTCTGCTACCCTCCTGCTGCCTGAACCCCGGCAGGATGTTCGGGGCCCTCAACCTGATTCGCATCCCTGGCACGACAACATGTGCCCTTCGTAGGATCTCTGGAGCGGTGTCTGTGTGCAGGGGAGAAAATCCAGCAGTGATCTTAGCTCTGGAGACAGGAGGTATCGGGCCTGGCTGCTGTTCACACAGGAGCTCACTGTGAAGTGTGGGTGCTGAAACTGCCTCCGTCAGCCTCAGTCGGCCTCAGCAACCAGAACCTTCCATACTTCCTGCATCAGAGGCCAGGCCTGCCTCCACTAGCAAGGCATTTGAACACAAGTTTTCTTTCCGCGTCTTGCCTGTTTACTTAGTCATCAGGGAAATGCAAATCCAAAGCACAGTAAGATGCCACTTCACACGTCTTAGGATGACTGTTACCAAAGAAGACGAGAGATAGCAAGCATTGGTGAAGATGTTGAGAAGAGGGAATCCTTCTAGACTGTTGATGGGAATGCAAATTAATGCAGTGACTATGAGAAGTATTACGGTGGTTCCTAAAGAAAGCGGCAGAATTTCACAGCTAATCCTGCCATGTAAGTCTGGGAGAGGTCATGTGAACTGGCCATGGGACACGTGACGCAATGAGCATCATCCCATGCCGTCTTCCATGGCCCGGTCTAGGAAGATATTTAGAGTTGCTCAAGTAATCTGGGTTTCTAGTACTGTTCTGACTACCTCAGTGCAGAGAACATGTTTTGTCTAGGGGTTTATGAGGAAGGAGGCTGAGAGGCTGAAAATTGAGCTCAATTTTTTTTTGGGGGGGGATGGAGTTTCGCTCTTGTTACCCAGGCAGGCTGGAGTGCAATGGCGCAATCTCGGCTCACCGCAACCTCCGCCTCCTGGGTTCAGGCAATTCTCCTGCCTCAGCCTCCTGAGTAGCTGGGATTACAGGCACGCACCACCATGCCCAGCTAATTTTTTGTATTTTTAGTAGAGACGGGGTTTCACCATGTTGACCAGGATGGTCTCGATCTCTTGACCTCGTGATCCACCCCTCGGCCTCCCAAAGTGCTGGGATTACAGGCATGAGCCACCACACCCGGCCCCATAAGCTCAATTTTTAACTGAACTTTTAACTTTATCAATTTCAGCCTGTTTTTCTAGCTACCAGTGCACTCAAGTGACCTCAGCAGATGCCATGCGAGGCACACAGGTGTTTTTCCAATGGAAGAGAATGGGTTGTCTGCTGTCAGGACACCCGGTGTCTAGATCTGGCTGAACGTAACTGCAATGAAGCCTCATAGAGAGCTCTTCGGTTCATGGGGTTGGCTCCATATAAGGAATAGCGACCTGCTTGTCTGCTCTCAGGAGTGCATAGGATGAAGAAACCAATGTTCGCCAAGTGATTCTGGCACGTCCCAACAGGCACTTCTTTTTTTTTTTTTTTTTTTTTTTTTTTGAGACGGAGTTTTTTCGCTCTTGTTACCCAGGCTGGAGTGCAATGGCGCGATCTCGGCTCACCGCAACCTCCGCCTCCTGGGTTCAGGCAATTCTCCTGCCTCAGCCTCCTGAGTAGCTGGGATTACAGGCACGCACCACCATGCCCAGCTATTTTTTTTTTGTATTTTTAGTAGAGACGGGGTTTCACCATGTTAACCAAGATGGTCTCGATCTCTTGACCTTGTGATCCACCCGCCTCGGCCTCCCAAAGTGCTGGGATTACAGGCTTGAGCCACCGCGCCCGGCCCCAACAAGCACTTCTTAATGCCGTAATTCTCACTGCAGTTGTGAGAAGCACCATCAGCCCTCCCACAGACGAGGAAACAGAGGCTTAGAATTCAACACTGTGTTCCCAGTAGGACAGCTGTCCAAAGTTGACCGTGGCATTCGCTCCCAGGCCCACTCCCTTTAGCTACAGCCAGGCCAGTCCCTCTGAGCTCGCTGCCGACGCTAGCACCGCCTTTAGTGCTGTACTTCCTATCGACACCTGGCTCCATCGCAGAACTAAGGAGGCCAGAGTGCTGGACTCCAAGCACTGCCCGGTGTCCGGCCTTCTTAGCCAGGCCCGGAATCTCTGAAACAGACACTACTGGGCACACAGTAAGAGTGGATCATCATCCCCTATTAATGGGGAAAAAGCTCCCTGAAGTGAACATTTTGGGTAGAGTACCATTCAGCCGTTATTTTTCATGAAAATCATCTTTCAAAGAAAAGTGGCACGTTCACCCCAACCCACACTGAACTTGCTGGGTGAACCTGCCAAATATTCTCATGCCCCCCATGATTTGACACTTTCTTTCCCTTATGAAATCCTTCTAAACACCTCCTCAGACATCCACATCCTTAGCTCAAATTACTTCCTCCTCTGGACTCAAGAGAATTCCCTATACACTTCTGTTGTAGCATCATCCCTCACTGTTTCCAGCGACCTCTGTATGCTCTGTCTCTCCTACAGACTTCTACGGAGAAAGGGTCAGGTTTGAAATCTCCTCTTAAGGCACCTAGCCCAGTGCCTGGTACACAATGCTGGGCTCGTCTGTTGAATCTTAATTATTAATGTGCATGTATATTCCCAGATGGAAGGGATCTGAAATACTGTAGCCCTGGGAGATACACTGAGCTTTATTCCTGTAAGAGTGCCTCTGAGTAATAGACAAGAGAGGGATGGTCTTCAAAGAATCCACACCCAAGCCATTTGCTCTTCCGGATCTCCCCATCCCTGCTACCCTCCCGCGGTCTAAACCAAGCCCTACGCCTGCCCGTGAACGCCCTCTGGTGGTGCTTTAGGGTAATGTCCACACAGAGACTGGAGTTGCTGGTAGGGTCTTTATTAGATGGTTATTGCTGTACTACAGGGTCAGAAGAGCGCCACGGAAGCAATGTCAGAGGCCTTTGTTCAGCCCAAGAAAGTGGATCTTCTCTCCCTGTTGATCACAGTGGGTAGGTTTCTTCAGAAAAGCCCCAGAGGCGGGGACCCGTGAGCCCCAAGGTTAGAAGTGGAACTGGAAGGCCTCGGTCACGTGCTGCTTCCACGCTTCCAGGCTGGGTAGCAAGGAGGAGATACCCATGACATGCCAGGTCTCCCCGTCTGACACCAGTGAAGTCTGGTAGGACAGCAGCCGCACGCCTGCCTCTGCCAGGAGGCCTGGAAATAGAAGAAGCTCCTGGTTGGCACAGGGCATGGCGGGGAGAGGGGGAAGGAGCGAGGGATTGCTAGCAGAGTTACAAGTTCTAGGCTTCTGTGATCAAAGGTGTAATGAGGGGACGATGGTCTCAGCCTCGAAGAGCTGGGATGGGAGAGCAACAGGGCATCTGCCCAGCTTCCACCGATATTCCCAACTCTCCGGAAACGCCAGGACCGTCAGCTGTCGCTGTCGACTTGCTGATCGCTCGTTTTATCCAGCAGCAAGGGAAAAAAAGCAGGAAAGGTCCCTTGGGCAGCCAGCAAGGATGGTGAAATCAGGCCCTTCAGCGTTTGAAGGCACACCTTCTGCCAAACAGCAGCCCAAGCCCCAGGGCACTGGGGCAGGTCCAAGATGCCCACCATGGCTGGAGGCTTTGTAGGCTTTGTTGCAGCTGGGCTGGCCACCAGGGCCGGCCACAGGCAGGAGGAGTAAGAAACCTGCACTCAATGTCCCTGAGCTCCTGGGCTATGGCTCCACAGGCAGGTCCAGTGTATTTTTTTTTTTTTTTTTTTTTTTTTGAGACGGAGTTTCGCTCTTGTTACCCAGGCTGGAGTGCAATGGCGCGATCTTGGCTCACTGCAACCTCCGCCTCCTGGGTTCAGGCAATTCTCCTGCCTCAGCCTCCTGAAAAGCTGGGATTACAGGCACACGCCACCATGCCCAGCTAACTTTTTTTTGTATTTTTAGTAGAGACAGGGTTTCACCTTGTCGACCAGGATGGTCTTGATCTCTTGACCTCATGATCCACCTGCCTCGGCCTCCCAAAGTGCTGGGATTACAGGCTTGAGCCACCGTGCCCAGCCAGGTCCAGTGTATTTAACATGGCGAGCTCGGGACCCACAGCTGGGCAGGAGTAGAGGCTCTGGGCCCACCCTGCCACGCTGCTCTGTGACCCTGGATAAGGCACCTTCTCTCTTTGAACTGAGTACCCACTCCCTGAATGTTCTGAAAACTGGCAGGACAGACCCTCTGCATGGTGTAGATACAGACACACCCTAGGGCATGAAGAGAGGCTGAAGGAAGGTGGTCTAGAGCTCAATCCCAGGGCAGACCCCACCCCAGCCTCTAGGGCACCAGCCAGCCCTCCAGGGCCCTCCTCACCAATCATGATAGGCAGCATTGCAGGGTCGGAGGTCTGAGTCCGGAATAGGAGCAGGGGCAGGCCCCTGCGGAGAGGCACTTCCGGCCTGAAGACAGCTCCATTGAGCCCCTGCAGCACAGGTGTGGTGCCCTGGACCAAGCCCACAGCCTGGTAAGGGGCGCCTGCCAGGGCCACAGCCAGGAGACATTCCCCGAAGCCCTGATCCCCTGGTGCTGCCGGGCTGTGGGAGGTGGTGACCTGCGAGAAGGCGAGGTGACAGTTACCCCTCCTGGCTGCGCCGCGTCCACCCTCCTCTCTCGGCCGAGTCACCCACATGCGAGACGTAGGGCTCCAGCTTGGGTAACGTGCTCGGTAATTCAGGACCGGAAGGGAGAGGGCAAATGGGCCAAGCTGTGGGCCCCTGGGCATCAGCTTCCTGGAAAACCAATGATCTCCTTAAAGGGAGGGCAAAGGAATCGGCCAGGCACAGGCAAAGGCTTGGAGGGGAGCAGGGGGAGAGAAAAGGAGGGAGGCAGGGCTGTGAAGAGACTGACGCTGGCCCGTCCTGCCCTGACACAGCTTCCTGCACAGCATCAGTGGCATGACGGGGAGGCAGGAGTGGAGGCGAGCAGAGGGGTGAGGACATGGCAGCTCTAATGCCTATCCCTTCTGCCAGCTCCCACTGGCTGAGCCACAGACTTTGATCTAAACAGAGAACCAGAGGGAAAGGCACCGATGGGACACCGTGCGAGGGAGCAGGAGGCGCTGCTTGCTCGCAGAGATTGCAAGCGCGTCGGGAACCCGGGTGCTACGGCATGAGGATCCCCGAGGGCAGTCGGGTAGAGTCAAACACACTGGCCCCTCATTTTCTTTGGCCGTGAGAATGGGGACACTGCTACTGCTCCTGGCTTCGTTCCCATAGCAGTCACACACAAAGCACTGTCACCAGCCACACTCGGGGCCAGGCAGTGTCTCCATTTTGCAGAGGAAGAAACCAGCTACCCCTCATGGGTGGACAGGGTGGCACAAGACTGGCACCTAGGCCTCTGCTCAGTGAATGGGCTCCGGAAGTGTGGGGAAGAGGGGTGGTGTTGACAGGGACGGGGACGCAGCGCGAGGGAGGGGGGCGCACATTGAGGCCAGCCTCTTTCACCAGCAGCTTGGCGTTCACCAAGTTCACGTCCGCCTGCTTGGAAGCCTCCTTCAAGAGGCCGACGATGACCGCAGGGCTTAGGCAGTTCCCAGCATTCTTCAGGGATGTTCCTGCCGACAGAGAAGCTGCCATGAGGTCACTGCTTGTCAAGCACCCCAGGACGGGGCAGGAAGCCGCTGGCATCTAGCTCTGGACTCTGGGCTCCTCGTTGCCCTGGGGACCCCAAGGGTAGCCTGCCCCAGGCAGGTCCACGTGCCCTTCAGTGGGCTCAGAGGAGGCATAATCTCGGCCCAAGCTGGGAAACCCAGGATGCTTTAACCACCTTGAGAAACTCTGCCCCGAAACTCAGCCCAACTCCGCTCCCCTCCCCCAACCGGACACCTGGCTTGTTATTTTCCCACGGGGACACTGGAAAACTCCCTACGATTACCCCTCCTTGGCACTCAGAGCCTTGCCAGCCTCAGGAAATGAAACCAGAAAGAAGCGACCGAAGCAGGTGCTGCCCAGCTCCCCACCTCGTTTCCTTCGGGGCTTGGACACCCAGGCCACTGGGGACCCCCGGTATTGCCAACGCCTGGGGTTTAGCTGCCCTCACCCCGCAATCTCCCCCCCAAGTGTGGGGCGCTCAACAGTCCATGGGGAAAGACACACCTCTACAGAGTTAAGGAAACTGGAGCCCTCCTTGGTCACTCAACCGTATCTGCACAGTACTGGATCCACTGCAGAAGTGGCCACAGCCTGCTCAGCAGCCCGAGGGGTGGACAGAGGACACTGAGCTCATTCCCATTCCACGGCTGAGCGAGCACCCTCGAGGGCTGCCAGATGGCCCAAGGGACCACCTTAGTAAATCACAGAGCACAAAGTGTCCTCACCGCCTCCTGACTCATCTGCCCCTAACTCCAACTTTACAGGTGAAGAATCCAGGGCAGAGGCTCAGAAGAGAGTGTCATATAGCAGGCAAACGGCAGGGCCACCAACCAGAATCCGGCATCCTGTTGCTTAACTGGGTCCTCCCTCCAGCCATCCTACAGCTTCTCACATGAAACTCTTATCTTGTAGAGGCCTCCCTTGCACCCAGAACATGTACGTCTTAGAGATACTACATAGGCCGGGCGTGGTGGCTCACACCTGTAATCCCAGCACTTTGGGAGGCCGAGGCAAGTGGATCACGAGGTCAAGAGATCGGGACCATCCTGGTCAACATGGTGAAACCCCGTCTCTACTAAAAATACAAAACATTAGCTGGGCATGGTGGCGCGTGCCTGTGATCCCAGCTACTCGGGAGGCTGAGGCAGGAGAATTGCCTGAACCCAGGAGGCGGAGGTTGTTGTGAGCCGAGATCGCGTCATTGCACTCCAGCCTGGGTAACAAGAGCGAAACTCCATCTCAAAAAAAAAAAAAAAAAAAAGATACTACATAAACATCATTTATGAAAATTCAGTATATCTTTCCAGTGACTTGTTCTACCCCTCCCTTTACCACCCTCCCACCAGTACTAAGGGAGTGGTACTCAGGGCAGGGTCCAAGCCACCCCCACGGCCTCTCACTAACCCTGCGTGCTGCAGCAGATACACCCAGCAGGGCACAGCCCACACCCCCTCATCCCCTCCTCCCCCACCCTCCGCAAGCTCCCCAGCTCACCTTGTGTTATCACCTGAATGGTCCCTTTGGGAGACCCAGCCCAGGCTCGTATCAGTGTCCCCAGAGCTTCTGCCAGACCAATCCAAGGCTTGGTGTGTGGAGAGAAGGCGCTGGTAAGGGCCTGGGCATTGACCTGCAGAGGATGGAGGAGCGGGGCTGTGGTCAGGAAGAGCCATGGCAGAGCCTGAATCAAGGTCTGGCTGCCAAGACCCAGCTCCACAGGAAAGAAAGCCTAGGGTCACTCATGCCTTGCTGCCTGGTGGGTGACAGCTTCCATCAACCCCAACAAGAGGACAATGACTTGTTCCTACAGATGAGAGAGCCAGAAACGGATACAGAAGGCCACCACCTCTCCAAATGATTCCTCTCGTGGAACTGTGTCCTACCCAGGCCCCTCCATGGGAGACTTGTTTTGTCTGCACTGGGGAAGGGTTGGACAGCACAGTAAAGTTGAGTCTGACACAAAACACCCAGAAGTCAAAGATAACATGGATGAAGAGGAACGGGTCTTCTCGGGTAGTCCCAATTTGCCTTCATTTTTATTTTCTATCTTGACTTTTTAAAAGTGAGTATTTACATTGTCACTGAACAGTATGATCAATTATCACAACGTTTTGATGATTGTGCTTCAAGTATCAACCCACGTAAAGTCCACCATGAGGCATGCAGTGACGCTGAGGGGACAGAAGCCACATATCCCCCAAAAGCTGTAAGTCTAGGACCTGGCTGGCTGTGCGCCCCCTCCCTACCAGGGGCCTGATAACGGAACCAGCTTGTTCTGGGCCAAAATGTCAATTCCATTTTGTGGTTTAAAATACTATGGTTCTGATTTAGGCATCTGGCCACTTTTATTGAGGTAACTTGTAAAGTCAGCCATCTGAGAAAGATGTGACTCAAACAGGCAGCTACAAGATGTAATTAGAAGGAAACACAGATGCTTCTCTCTCTGTTTTTATAAAGGTATCACTGCCAGAATATTTTCTTTCTTTTTTTTTTTTTTTTTGAGACGGAGTTTCACTCTTGTTACCCAGGCTGGAGTGCAATGGCGCGATCTCGGCTCACCGCAACCTCCGCCTCCTGGGTTCAGGCAATTCTCCTGCCTCAGCCTCCTGAGTAGCTGGGATTACAGGCACGTGCCACCATGCCCAGCTAATTTTTTGTATTTTTAGTAAAGGCAGGGTTTCACCATGTTGACCAGGATGGTCTCGATCTCTTGACCTCGTGATCCACCCGCCTCGGCCTCCCAAAGTGCTGGGATTACAGGCTTGAGCCACCGCGCCTGGCCCAGAATATAGTTTTTTAAACAGAGAGAGAATCGCAGTATTGGAAATGACTGCCGAGGCGGGCTTCATGGGAGCCTCCCCAGTGCGGGAGGCAGCAGGTCCGCAGGCCTCTTGCTGCAGGGACCCTGAATGCTCTCCAAGGGGATGCAGAGGGGAAGGGCAGTGGGGTGGGGCAGCCAGCTGCTGGGAGACCCGGAGCAGAGTCAAGGCCAAGTAAGCGTCCCCGTAGGCAGGCACCTCACGGTGTCTCTGTGCTCTGTGTGGGCCTGCAGAGTCCATGCCTGGGGAGATGCCCGTCACAGGGCTCCTGAGTAAAAGGGGGATTCACAGGCTTCCCTGGATGACAGGTTGGGAGAACTCCAGGGAGGAGTCAGGCGCTTTTGGTCACCAGTCTGACCCTAATGTTGTTACTCTGTGTCAGGCTGGAACAAAATTGAACTGGAGAAAATGCAGGAAAGAATCAGGAAAAGATACTTCCTATGTCACAAAAATGTCTCTTTTTCCAACTGGCTACTCTGAGACCATTTGCTGGTGTGGGTGGACAGTTCAGTCTGCCTAAGGGTAGTTATTCTGACCAAGAGGTTTAACCTCCTAAGACGGCAACATTTTGTGGTCCACTTGATGGAACTTACATTAGGGAGTCCCTTTCAGGGAAAGCCCTGGAATGTCAACACTACCTAATGGTAACGGCAATAAATCGCAAAGCTGCGATGGGGAGGGCAGACGGCTGCCTTCTGAGCAGTCTGAAAGGGTGAAACCTTGAAGCCCGGATTGACTGGCAATGGTCACGAGCCCAAACCTCAGCCTGGAACATGAGCCGCATCCCCTGGGAGGAATGAACTTGCTCAGAGGCCGGCCAGGTGCAAGATGAATGAAGTGCGCTCTGCCCTGAGGAGCCCCACAGCGTAGAGGACAGAGGAGGACGCGGACAGGTCAGAGTCTCTGCTGGCCCACTCCTGTGCTGCCGGTCCTAGGCCTGATGACTTCCGTGGACTGCGTGGGGCTGCAGTAGGCACCCATCCTCCCTCAGCATGGAGTGGGCAGAGAGGCCTGGAGGGCTGAGGTCTCAACTGGAGGTGGGAGGGCGGAACCAGCATCCCGGTCTCTCCTGCCACAGTGCTGTCCCCATGAGCGAAAATCCCCCGACTGAGGGTCAGCCAGGACAGTTGGGAATCCCTAGGCCATTTCCCTGACTCTTTGAGGGTACTAATTCTGTGGCCTGGGCCCACCCACGCAAGCTGCAGGGAGGCTTAAGTCATGTTTTTTCATCCTCAGGGAACTTAGAATTTAGGTTAAGTAGAAAGATTAAAAAAAAAATAAATCACCTCATGGAACTGAACCTTAATAACACAAATGCGGTTGATTGACCACAGAATTTGAGAAGGGGCTGGAAAGGCCAAGCCAAACTTCCTAAGGAGGTGGCGAGCCCCTGGAAGCAGAGCGACGCCTCCCTCATGCACCTGTGTCTCCCAAGGGCTATGACAAGGTCTGGTGCCCAGTGGAATTTAAGGACTATCCCCAGACTGAATGAATGACACAGGACTTGTAAGTCGGGTTCAGCTCGAAGGGGACGCACACGCCAGGAAGGGCTTGATGGAAGCAAAGACAGGGAGCGGGGTCTCATGCCATGATTCGGGGAACGTTAAGGGGCCCAGCCGGCATGGGGGGCTCATTTGCGAGTGGATTGGGCGGTCTGTTAAGGAAGGGTCTGGGGAGCTTACAGAGGGCAAACTTTCTACACAGGCCACCCCCACCACGTCCCCAACCTGCTGCGCTTAACTGGCACCCAAGCGGCACTCCTGCATTCCCAAGGCATGTGGAGAACAAAGGAGCCTTTCTCCACAGGCTGGGCCTGGGCAGGGCCACAATCTCTGCAGCAAGACTACGTTGTAACAGGCCTGAGCCGGGCTCTCTGCTGACAAAGCTTCTGTTCGAGGCTGGAGATGGGAGGATCCCGCACACCCTCCCACCCCCCCACCCCCCCCACCCCCGCTGGAGAGTGCTGACTCAAGCAGATTCCCTTATCTTTTTTTTTTTTTTTTTTTTGATTCCCTTATCTTCTGTTCCCAGAGCTGAATCTGTTCACCCAGGCCGTCACCAGCCCCCACAAGACGCCTTCCTCCCTTTCCTCCCTCTGACCCCTGCGCCCCCAGCTCCAGGTGGTGATACTTACAACCCCCGCGAGAGATTTCCCCTTCACCATGTCCACGAACTGAACAGCAATTTCCTCCCCACAGCGGCTCTGCGCCTCCCTGGTGCTGGCGCCCAGGTGGGGACAGCTGATGACATTCTCGTGGTCCACCAAGGTTCGGTCCCGTGGTGGCTCCTGCCCAGAAAGAGAGAACTCTAGGTTGGCTGCCATGAACTGTTCACACCCACTTGGGCCATCCCAGGGAACAGGACAGTTGGAGGGAAGGCAGTCGGGGTGCTGCTGCCCTCTGCTTCTGTCTTGTCAGGGTGGTCACTGGACTCAACAGTGGGCTTCCTCATGAATGTTCCATCTCAGCAGAGCGGACAGAGCAGAAAGTGTGAACCAGATTCAGATCTCACCTTCACCACTTACCACCTAGGTACTTGGCGGCGAACCTTGATCTAACCCTCAGTTTCTTTATCTGTGAAATGGGTTGATCCTATCTCCCTCACATTACTGTGGGGATTATGCACCTTTAACATGGAAGGTTAAACTGCTGTTGTTTCTGGGTTCTTCCCTGAAACTCAGCCCCTGCATCCACGCACTTGCTGTCCATGTGCCTCGCTGGACTCTTAGCAGTGTCCTGCTCTTCACAGACACTCCACGCAGGTAACTGCATCCCGGCTCTCCTCAGCACAGGCTGCTGGTCTGTGGCTCCCCCACCCCGCCCTGCGGCGCGTTCTCCACCCTCTGCTCACTGAGAAGATCGCCCTTGGGAATGTTATTTAGGCATCTTCTGCACATTCTCCTGGGGGCTCTGTTGGTCCCACTGAATTTTGATCATGTAACCCCGGGAGTCCCGGCCACGTGTAACCGTGTAACCCCGGGAGTCTCGGCCACGCGTAACCACGTAACCCTGGGATTCCCAGCCACGCGTAATCGTGTAACCCTGTAATCCCAGCCAGACCATAATCACGTAACCCCGAGAGTCCCGTACCACCAGCACGTGGTGCAAGAGAGCAGGAGAAGGTGCTGTGTTAGGGAGGATAGTGATACAAAGATGGACAAGGTTTGCCCTGTCTTCAGGGAGCTTATAATCTCAGAGTTGAGAAAGATGAGCAGGGTTACAAACCAAAAGGCACTGTATGCCCCGGGCTGGGAGTAGCCAGTGAGTGCTACAGGGGCTCAGAGAGGGCCAGGGACCTTCCCAGGACACACAGCTAGTAACCCGTGAATCACAACCACCCAATCCAAAGTCCACGCCCTTTCCCTTCCTCACGGGGAGAAGCCCCAGTGTTGAGGGCAGGATCTCTCAGGAGAGGAGCCAGCAGGATTAAAGGGCAAATGCACTCTTCCCTACTGGACCTGGTGTGCGGCTGAGCCTCCGCTCCTGCTGGGAGAGCAGCCCACCCTGAGGACCCTGAGGGAATCCTGCCAGTATCCCCGCACTTCCGTCTACCCAGGAAGAGAAGAAGGGAAGAGGAATGCCGATGGACACTGGGAAGGACATCTGCTTGGCAGTGGGGCTGCATTTCAATCAGGGTCTTCTAACAACACACCAACCCCCCCTCTCCCTGCCCCAGACCCTCAACCACAGAACTGATTTGCGCCTCTATCTTTGTCAATATGGTAGCAGTCTGAGGAGCCTGGAACCAGGAACTGGGTCCCCTTTGAAACCCGAGTTTTGCAGAAAACCACACAGCTGCCTCCATACCCAGCTCGGCAAAGGCTCCTCAAACCACACGGGTGTGTTTTTGGCAATACAATTTTCCCCCGTTTACCACGGATGAAAGAGACAATAAGCTAGAGGCCTGTAAAACGCCAGGCTTTCCCGGCCACAGGCATCTCTGCTCCCGAACTCTCCCCTCCTCCTGACGCTGAGGCCGCAGGCACTTACCTCCGTAAACACATCCAGCGCAGCCCCGGCACATTGGCCCGACTGCAGGGCCCGGAGCAGGGCGCCTTCGTCCACGATCCCTCCACGGGCACAGTTCACCACACGTACCCCCTTCTTGCACTGGGCAAAGGTGCTGTCGTTCAATAAGCCTGGAAGAAAGCGAAGCATCTTCCTGCTGGGGCAGCACCAGGGTCCCCACGCTCACCCCTGGCTCCCAGGGTCTTCCCTTCCGTGGAGCCAGTTCTGCCCCAGAGCGCCTCTCCTGCTGGACGGCAGCCGCCTCGGTCTCATCTCTTCCTCCGGGGACGCGCTGGGGCAGCAGTCCCTGTTATGGATCTGGGCCAGACTCAGTTGAGAAACGTCTTAGAAATTCTTGAGATCTTACTGTTTCGAGTGGGTCTGGGAATCAGAAAGCCCTGCAGGGGCTGCAGGAAGCATCCACGGGGGTCACTGGTCATCCCTGTGCCCAGGTCACCTAGAACCCAAGCACGTCCAGCTGGCTCGACCTCCCCTATTGGCTGCAGGGGCATCTAACAAAGCACCAGGCTCTGCAGGACCTGGGTGGACCCCCTCCCCACAGCTGGTTACCAGCGCCTGCAGAAGGCCCAGGCGGAGGGCCCATTTGTTAACTGGTCTGTGGCTTCTGTGCCAACCCACGATGTACGGACGCACCTACCTGTGGTGGAGGGCAGGAGAGGAGTGTGCACAGTGATGAAATCACAGAGAGGCCAGATCTCCTCCAGGGGCAGCTGCTGAACACCAAAGGAGGCCGAGACCTCTGGGGAAATGATGGGGTCATACCCTATTGTCTGGTCAGAAGACAGAGAGAGGGAGGGAGTGTCATTCTTAATTTTGAGTACTGTTATTAAGAATGCCAAACGTTTTGTGAGCATTTGCAGTACACTCAGTACCACGCTCAGCTTAATTAATTCTCCAGTTTAATTCTGATGACAGCGCAAAGGTGCTGGGACGGTGCCTGTCTGCTTGAGAGCTGAGGGAAGCAGGGCTTCCACAATGAGGAGGGCCACGGCCAGAGCTGTGTGTGTGTGCCTCCACGCTCTGACCACACACAGATGCCACAGTAGCTCACGTGCGTCTGGACCAGGTGGAGCCTGGAAGTCCTCAGAAAGCAGCGAGGGAGGGCAGTCACGTGGGGAGCAGCCAGCCAGGAAAGGGAGGAGGAATGGCAGCTGCAGCTGGAAGGGCCAGTCCGGAAAACAGACAGGTGCCCCAGGTACTAAAACAGAGTGAGCAGAAGCGAAGGAGGAGGGCCACAGGGGTGGAAGGCGGGACGCGGAAAGGGTGCAAGGGCGCGTGCCCTCTCAACCCGGAGGCCTGACCCGCAGCCTCCCGCAGTCACCGCCCACTGCGTGGAAAGGCACAGGTCAGTCCCCCCCTGAACCTGGATCCTCAACCCTAACTAAAGGAGCAAGCGGATAACTGCAGACATCCTTCACTCTCACATTCAGTCCCTGGGAATTATTTGAAGAGAAATTCCCCTTAACCCCGAGAGAGGATGTAGGAACTGGGTAAAAGCCAAGAACACACAGCACAGTACTTTCACAGCAGTAGTCCCTGGCTGGTGGTATTAGTTTTCTCCTTTACTTTCCTGTGCTTTCAAGTTCTCCACTACATATTCATAAATTACTTTTGAAATTAGGGATACAGAATAGATATTTTAGGACATAATGGGAAAGCTGGGTGCCATGGCTCATGCCTGTAATCCCAGCACTTTGGGAGGCTGAGGCAGGAGGATCACTTGACCCCAGTAGTCTGAGACTAGCTGGGCAATATAGTAAGACTCTTCCTCTACAAAAATATTAAATAATTAGCCAAGTGTGGTGGCACGCACCTGTGCCGCTCAGGAGGCTGAGCCAGGAGAGTCGCTTGGACCTCGGAGGTTGACGCTGTAGCCTGGGTGACAGAGCAAGACCCTGTCTCAGAAAAAATAATGAGAAAAAAGAACATAGCAGGGAAGAGGACTTCAAGTTCAGTACTTCTAGGGCAGAAGTTGAAAATGGTTATGAGTAAGGTGAAGCCTCTGGATCTCTTTTTTCATCTTTAGCCTTGTGGAATAAGGAAAGCCAAATGGTCCCACGCTAACGATTAGGCAGGTTTTGGGGAAAGATACTGCCGCCCCCCCTCCCACTGCCCTGTAAGAACTGCCAGCTCAGAATGCAGGTGGTCTTTTTCAGACATTGCTGCTCCCCTCGGGCTTTTTCTTTATAAGGTGGTTTTTTGTGGGGTTTTTTTTTTTTTTTTTTTTTTTTTGAGACAGTCTTGCTCTGTCGCTAAGCGCCAGGCTGGAGTGCAATGGCGCGATCTCGGCTCACTGCAACCTCCGCCTCCCGGGTTCAAGCAATTCTCCTGCCTCAGCCTCCCGAGTGGCTGGGACTACAGGTGCACACCACCACTCCCAGCTAATTTTTGAATTTTTTAAGTAGAGACTGGGTTTCACCACGTTGGCCAGGATGGTCTTGATCTCTTGACCTCGCGATCCACCCACCTTGGCCTCCCAAAGTGCTGGGATTATAGACATGAGCCACTGTGCCCAGCTAATGTACTCATTCCTGGGGGTGGGGGGGAAGAAAGTATCAAGGGAGGAGGTGGGGTTCCTGCCATCGTTGTCACAAGTCTTCTTTGCTGGCTCTGAGGCCGGCAGAACAATGGCCCCGTTCATCTCTAATCCAGATGTATTTTTTTTTCTCACATGGAGTCGGGGAGAGGAGAGGAATACCAATAGAGATTGCAAGATCCAGACTGGCTGACATCTGCTTCAAGAACAACCTGGGGGCTGGCAGGAGGAAGGACCCTGCAGGCTGAGCCTGGCCCCCTCCACAGGCAGGTGCCTGGGCCTGCAGGGATAGGGGCTGGGGAGAGGAGCAAAGCACTGACTCAGCTTCCTTCTTTCACAGAAGAGTATCTCATTTATCTGCAGATGACTACAGGGAAGGAATGTCACTGAGTAAACCTCTGTTCTCATTTTCCATTTGAGATAACCAGGGCAGAGAAGAGGTGAACTCAGCTAGGGGGTGGGGTTCCAACACTAGGAGACAATGTTGAGGGGATGGAAAGGGTGACATCAGGCCCAGGACACACGTGCCTGCCAGGGTCAGGTCCTGATGTGTCCTGGAAAGGGTCAGGTGTCCTAATACACAGAAATTGGAGCAGCTCTGGGTACACACCATTCAAAGACTACTCCCGGAGAGAAGCCTTGGGGAGAAGCATGAAGGGGTTCCCTCACCTCAATCCCAGCCCCAGGACAGACTCCTGATGTGGAGGCAACAGAGGAAACCTCACTTTCTAAGCAGGACTCCAGGGCAGCTGGTGACTCCTAGTTGCCTGAGGTCACGGAAAGCAGCCCTGAGAGGCTGGTGGGTATGCTGGCTCAGCAGAGCAAAGACCAGAGCAAGCAGGCCTCCCAGTCCAAGAGGCTCTGAGTAAGAGCCTTCAAGGTCACACGCTCTCTCTGCCCTATAGCCGAATTTTTAATTTAGCATTGGAACTCTCCCTACCTGTGCAATGACACCTTAAACAGAGGCCCAATATAAAAACAGATCAGTTCAAAGCTGCAGAGGTGAAGCTCAAATTGCCCCCGCCTGCTGTCTCCCTGGGTCCCTCCTTGCTCCCACCTGTGTCCCTAAGGCACCTTGCCAGAACCTGAGGCTCTGAGTTCGAAAAATCACTGCTCTGGGCAATAAACATTGCAGGTACCACAGTGGGATAGAAGCTGCCTATTCTGGAGAGTGTGTGTCCTTGGAATAGCTAAGCAGCATAGTGACGTGAGACAGGGACTGTTTAACTACAATGGATCGTGAATAGAGTCGGGTGGTATTGGGCAAAGAGTATCAGCCTGGAAGGCTGAGCTGGATTCTAACAGTTCATAGTCACATTACCTTCAGTGTATCATAGAACCTTCCTGGGCCTCAGTTTCCTTATTTATAAACCTGGGATAATAATTCTGACCCCACAGAGTCATTTCAAGCACGGGAACCGACGCAGACCTCAGCAAACATTAGCTGGATCTGAAAGAATCAGTGATGACTGGTCCCTCAGGTTCAACATCCGTCCCTCTGGACTAAAGTTGGATTTGTCGCAAGGCTGGCAACAAAGAAACTGTTAAGAGATGCTTGTCTGTTCCCTCCTGGAAAATCTTGGTAAGAAAGCACAAGCCTCACCTCTTGAAACACATGAGAAGGAACGCATCAGCATGAATGAGTTGAGTCTCTGACCTGTTACTCAGCAACACAGTCAAGAAAAAGTTTCACGCAGACAGAACAGTACAGAGCCTAAGACCTGTGTGACTCAGACCACAGGCAGGCTGCAGGCTGGTCAGGCCAGAGGGTGGGGAATGTCACTTCCCTTGCTCCAAAAGACATACTTCTTTTAATGCGGCCGAAGGTCACATTATCTTTTCTATCAGCTATGCTGCTGATAACCACACTGCTCTTTTGTAAACCAAAGCCCTGCTCCCCAAGAAAAGCTTCTGACAAATTTCCTGGAAGGGTGCCCAACGATTCTAGCCTTCATATGTCTTTCGGACCCGATTTCACACCCTTAAGTATTAACTACCTGTCCTTGCTTCCTGCCACCCACAAACGACTCGTGGTCCAGGCTGTTGACCACGAGAATGGTGGGTAAGGCAGAGCCTGGCACTATCACAGTCTCCCTCCAAACTGAGGCGGCTCATTCTCCAACAGCGCTAAGCAGAACCCCGAGGGAATCATGAAAGCGCACTTACCGAAATCCACACCTGTAAATAATCTGAATGCCCATCATTGAGAGAATGGCCAAATAAAAGCAATTTATCCACACAGCAATTCCACACAACCATTTAAAAGTGTGACAGATTTAGCTGTTCTGGGATAAACGTTTTTTGCTTAACATCCTGAACAATAGTCTATTATTTGCAGGCATAGTATCCATCCACAGGCATGGAACTATGTGCATTCTGTGCAAATGCATAGAAAAGTCTGGGATGAAATGCTAAATTGACGTTAAGGTGAGGAGACCAGGATTCAGATGGTAATCAAGCATAGCCTTGTCTGTGTTTTAATTTATATGAGAATGTAATCCTTTATTAAATGATTAAAACATAATTTTAAGTAATCCAGGTATATGACATCCAGGAATTTCCATACTCTACCAGTTTAATAATGATTCCCAAAGAGAGAATGAGGCTAGTTTGAAATAACCTGTGTTTAATAAACACTGATCCTTACTGTGTGGATGCTCATACATCTATTTCACAATCTGTTCAAGAATCTTCCTTTCCCTTTAGAAAATCTTGTTCTCCAAGGCAACTAGAACATCGAATGACACAGGCTGGTGATCTCTCTGCCCTGAGACAAAATTCATCCAGACTCAAAAGTGTAATAATGATGTGGTCCAGGTAAGCAGCTGAGCACAAAGAGAGGCCACTTAGGCCCTCCAGAATGATGAGGTCCAGGCAGCTCCAGAGGGGCTGAGGTGGGAGGCGGGACCATCTAGATCATGTTTCAGGGGTTTACAAACAGCATTATGCTGGAAGTGTGAGACAGTGAAGAATGACTCTCCAGAGACTTCTGGACAGAAGAAACACAAAGTAAAGGCACCAGCACCCTCTACACCGTGCTGGAAATGAGAATAAAACATTTGGTGGGTGACCTGCCTCGAGGCACAGATTAACACTGAAATGAGCAGGCGGTAGACATCTCTTTCAATCAAACACATGCCGGGAGGTGTCAGCCATTTCCTGAAACTGAAGCTCAAGGCCCCAGATACCCCTGCGCCTCCTAGAACCAGCCCAGGGCAGAGAGCTGGGCAGCGCCAGATGGACAGACAAGCTTACCTATCACCTTAATCGTTCAGGAAGGAGGTGGGGCTTTTCATTGCTGAAGTCTCCATGACCATGACGAAGAATGTTGCTGAGCCAGGAATCTCATGTGTAGTGGTGCCACGGAGAGGGAGGGCCCAGGGAAGGGGAGTCATGGGGAAGAGTGTCCCCTGGGGAAGAGGGCAGGAGCCTTGGCTCGGCCACTGGCCTGGAGCTTCATCAGTGAAATGCTCACCCATCTGGCTATGTGTGCTTTCAGTTTTACTTAACCCCTGACCTCTGCCTTTTAGATCAAAGTTCTCCATGGGCTAAACCTTGACCCTTGATCCCTTAAAAAAGGTGATGGAGGCGCCGGGCGCGGTGGCTCACGCCTGTAATCCCAGCACTTTGGGAGGCCGAGGCGGGTGGATGACGAGGTCAAGAGATCGAGACTATCCTGGTCAACATGGTGAAACCCCGTCTCTACTAAAAATACAAAAAATTAGCTGGGCATGGTGGTGAGTGCCTGTAGTCCCAGTTACTCAGGAGGCTGAGGCAGGAGAATTGCCTGAACCCGGGAGGCGGAGGTTGCAGTGAGCCGAGATCGCGCCATTGCACTCCATCCAGCCTGGGCAACAAGAGCGAAACTCCGTCTCAAAAAAAAAAAAAAAAAAAAAAAGGAGATGGAAGAGGAAGCACTCTTTGTGGCTTATGGCATCCCACCATCCCTGCAGAGGGGGCAAGGCTGTGGTTTGTTTACATAATCAATGATCCCGCTGAGCGGCATCCGCCTGGCTCAGGAATCCAGGGATAGAGAACATACCTGGCCCTTCTCAGTGCAGAGGCTTAGAAGAGATGTCTGCCTGACTTAAGTAAATAAGGTGGGGGAGTAGAGGCAGGAGGGAGAGGGTGATAGTCAGTAGGTACAATGGGTTGCCTACCAGGCTCTAGGCTACTGTCCATTTGCTATGAGTCCTTAGGTATAAGCTTACAGATTATAGATGTCAATATAAAATCAAGTGTTAATCAATAAGATCCCTTCTAACTCTAAGAAGGTAGGAGGGATGTAGAAAAAGGGAAAGATCCATAGCAGTTCTTTTTTTTTTTTTTTTTTTTTTTTGAGACGGAGTTTTGCTCTTGTTACCCAGGCTGGAGTGCAATGGCGCCATCTCGGCTCACCGCCACCTCCACCTCCAGGGTTGAAGCAATTCTCCTGCCTCAGCCTCCTGAGTAGCTGGGATTACAGGCGTGTGCCACCATGCCCAGCTAATTTTTTGTATTTTTAGTAGAGACGGGGTTTCACCATGTTGACCAGGATGGTCTCGAACCCTTGACATCGTGATCCACTCATCTCAGCCTCCCAAAGTGCTGGGATTACAGGCGTGAGCCACCACGCCCGGCTCATAGCAGTTCTATGTAAACTTTTCTAGATCTGACACGATCTGGTTGTCAAAACTGTTTTCCTAATGTTTGATAAAGACTTCCTGGCTGCAGTTTGAACCCACAATCCCTGTAATTCCCTAAAACAGATAGTGAACAGAGAGATGTCTGATAGCAGCCTTAGTGGGTTCATCTCTTTGGCCTGTCTGGGAAGCCCGGCGGATGCCCTCTCGTAGTTGAACTGCCTCTCTCATTTGCAGGGTCACCTGGATTAGCTCAAGTAGGCAGCCCTGCTATTGATTGAAACCTTCCCTTAGCCAGAAGCCTGCTGAGCTCCCAGAGCAGGAAAACACAGAGACCTGGGGAAGGCAGGAGGCAGGTGTGATTTCTGAGACAAGTGTGAGGTCTCCCAGCCCCCATAGGTGCTACAATCATATCGTAGTATATATACATAAGCACCTTTAAATCTCTTCTGGACTATAGAAGGAAACTAGAAGGACAAATGGACCAATGGATGTAAGGCTGCACTGTGAGGCCACAAACTTGTTCCTGTTTTCTGAATTATCACAGGAAAACAGACACAACAAAACTCGGAAGGAAAGAAAGAATGGGCAGGACACAAGCGTCCTCCCTGTGAAGCAAGATAGGTAGTCAAGGAAGCGACCGTGTTCTCAGACGAACGCAGCAGCCGCAGTGATCCCAAAGCTCAGTAAACCTTGGTATTCATATCAGAATCGAGCTCATTCAAGCAAAGCGATCTTCAGTAGCGAGCTCCCCATCCGGAGAGCCTGTGCACTGATTTTTCCTGTCCTCAACCTGGCCCCCTGCTCACTGTCATAGAAAACACGCCGGGCGCGGTGGCTCACGCCCGTAATCCTAGCACTTTGGGAGGCTGAGGCGGGCGGATCACCTGAGGTCAGGAGTTCAAGACCAGCCTGACCAATATGGCGAAACCCCATCTTAAATAAAAATAAGAAGAAGAAGAAGAAAAGAAAACACACTCCGGGGTGGAGATTGAAGGTGTGCCGAGTGAACAGGCATGTACAGCTGCTACTCATGTACACCCAGAGCACCACCCGAAACATGCTTACTGGTAACACCTCTTCCCCCCTCCTTATGAATAATCACATACAATCCCCATAAAGGGAGTTTCTCCGGCAGTAATCAATACTGCCTCATCCTTATGAGAATTCAGCCACCTGAATTCTCTCTCCCAAGGTGTACTTTCTACTGTGCACTTAACTTTCGAAATATTCTTTTTCCTTTGCAATACATTCCTCAATACAGTATCGTGTCTCTTTTTTCAAAATTCTTTCAAACTGTGAAGACAAGAACCAAGGTCTCAACACAGCCATCAATCCCTGGTTCACTGGCAGTCAGGGCTCTTCACTCCTCCGAGAGCTAAAGGACTCCCACCAAGTATTCCCAGCTTTTGAGTCCCGCTCGGCAGGTCAATGTTCTCTCTCTCCTTGGCTTTAACGCTTATTTAGACAGGAGCTCCAAAAGAGGGTCAGACCCTCCTAGAACAAAGCTTCTGGCTTCTGCCCAGCCAGGCCTCTTCCAAAATTGCCACCGCAGTCTCACATCAGAGGGTTCCAGCAGCATCTTACCTTCATCCCGAAGGACTGCATCCGGGTAGCCACCTCTCTGCCAATCCTGCCCAGGCCAAGAATTCCCAGGGTCTTTCCATTCAGCTCTGTTCCCATGAACTGCAACCAAACGGGCAGAAGGAAAGAAGCTGAAGTCAGCAAGGTGAGTGCACCCTGGGCCCTGAGCCCAGGTGGGGTGAGTCAAGGCCGCTGCTCACCTGCTTCCGCTCCCATTTGCCATCCTTCATTGAAGCCGTCGCCTGGGGAATCTGCCTGCAAGGACAGACACAGGTTCAGAGGGCCCACTCGGACTCCCACCAGCCCAGGAAGGAGACGCGACATCAGGCCTGCACAGTCACTGCCCCAACACAGCCACTCCCCCGGGAACTGGGTCTGAGGGTCCAGGTTTAGGAACACTGATGGTGGTAAAGGGAAGACAGAAGATGTGACTTAGAAATGCTGGGATTCCTGTGATCAGCCAGGCATCTGGGAGGAGGTCCGGATTCCACCTCGGCCACTGAGACATCAGTCAGAGGGAGTTTTTTTACTTTAAGTGATCGCCAGTCCTCCGGGGTCTGCAGGGATGACTGAGTGGGGTACTGGGCAGCTCTGATCAAGTTGCTCCAGGAGCTCAAGGAATTATTTTCATCTTCCTATCATAACCTAGGACATTTTTTACTATTATGAAGAGGACACTGATTACTTATGCTTCCTTGAGAGTTTCTTAACCCTGAGGGTCTTAGACTAGTTTGGAGTGGGTGGGTGGATGCCAAAGCCCAGACGCTTCCATTGTGTCCTGAATGTTTGGTCCCAACACTTTTAAAGTCACACCACCCTCCTGTCCCACGACATACACACACACACACACACACACACACACACACACAAACACTTCACAGCCTGTCTCCTCCTGTAGTTCAGATGGAAGTCTGAGTCTACATCTGTGTTTTTCAGAGAACACAGAGGAAGCGGCTATTAGGACAACATTAAAGGTCAAAGGACAATATATGTCCTGTGGGCCACGGGTCATCAATACATCTCTGGAGGCAAAAAAAAGGCAGAAATGAGAAACGATGTTTGAGGAGCACTTTTCTCTATTTTACGCATCCAAATATAAATGTTCAGGCACACATTAACTCCTGTAACGTTCACAGCTGCACGGAGGGAGGCAGTGGGGGTTAAAGACCTCACCCTGGCTCACCCAACTGGAGACACCTGACCAGATTCAAAGCCAGCAAGGTCAACCCCAGCCCAGCCAGCCTCCTGAGTATTTAAATGCAGCCCTTTAACCTGCCGCCAAAAACCTGAGAGTGAGCGAGCATGCAAAGAGAGATCTCAAGACGCTACTTCTCTGCTTTCAATTCACTAACTTCTAACACAAAAACATTCTCTCATCTCTACACGTTACCGGGACATCCATTTCCCTCTGAGGGTAAGGCTGAGGGTGGAATCTGTCCTCTCCATCACAGAGCCCCACGATCTTACAAGAAAACTCAGGAGAACCTCATTAGCAAGCCACATGGCGGGCAAGCGGCATTCACCTCACTGCTCTGAGCCATCAGACAGGTAGTAAGGACAGGGACTTGCCTCGAGGAACTGTTCACTTCTCCAGGAAAGCTTGCCTGATAAAATGCCTTTCACCTAGTGAGTTCGAGCCCCCAACCTGGCCCCTCTCCCCCCTCACATCCTATCTTCTTCCCATCGGACTCCACAGGGCTATCAAGATGTCTGCATGCGACACCACAGAACCCTTTCTCTGGCTGCTACACCCAGCTGATGGCTGAGCCGGTCCAGGTTTCAACGCTTTGGAATCCTCACCAGGCCAGACTGGAGAGGACCCTACTGTGGGTGAGGGGCTCACAGGAATTAAGTGGTTGCTGGCCTGACTTACTAGAGGAGGAGATGGTCAAGCAGGCAAAATGGTGAAACCTACGTTTGCTCTTTCTCGCCTTCCTTCCGTTCTGTGTGCTGTTCTTCTGCACCTCAGGAGCCCTTTCTGCTCAAAGTCCCCACCGTGAGGCCCAGCCACGCCTGCTCTCCACCCACACTGGCCAACCCTGCAGAGTCGATATACAGCATTCTTTCCTGCTGCCCTCCCTGCTGGGAACAGGCTGATGAAACTGAAGCATTCCTTCCCAGTAAGGCGCCGTGTTTTCTAGTTTTGATGCCTCTTTGATGAGTGAGGTCACGGTGAGTGATGGACAATGGAAAGCTTCTTTTAAACAACAGCACTTCACCGATTCCTTTAAACAAAGCTGGTCCTAGAAAGGGAGGGAAAGTATCCCTGGCTCCTAATCCTTTCCTTCCACCTCCAGAAAAAAAGCGAGGTAATTAAGTAGAAAGCCACACTGAGATCTTTTCCCCTTTCTCAAAAAAAAAAAAAAAAATCACTGAAGGTAATAGGTAAAGTGAAATCAAGGCACCAGGCTTCTATACTTCTCCAGGGAGAGAGAAAGACACTCCCCCTAGATGTCCTGTGAGAACCAGGGTGCCAGCTTGGGGGCCCCTTCTAGGCTCAGACCCTACTGCTGTGTAAGCTGTCCTGTTTCTCCTTTCCCCCAATGGCCTCCCTTCATCTATCAGTGACTATCAGTGAATACCAGAGACCTCAGGTGGAAATTGTGGGGAAGAGTTAGAGCAGAGTTTAACTCCCTAAGATCCTCCTCCAGCAGGAGGGAAAGCAGATCTTGCATGGGAAAAGTAATTTCTTGGTCCCAGTTTTCAGGCCTGAGTAGAGAAACAGAGAGTCCTTGATGCCTAATTCCCCTCATTTGGGGATTCCACGGAGCTTCAAAGGGACTGAGAACAGCTTCCTGCCCTGTTTACTGGGAGCCTTGTTCTTGCCTTTGACCACAGAAATGCTTGAATTGCCTGTTCAACAGAAGTGCTCCATGCAATCCGTTTTGCCAAATTACTAACCACCACGCACTGAGACTCAAGCACATTCTGTGCCATATCCATTTGATTTCTAGGCTGCCCCTTCCACTTAAGGGGTCTGGAATGCCCGCTGGAAGAGCAAGAGTCTTGCCCATTTGAGTTTCATCGGCCCACAGGAACACACAGGGACCCTGAAGCAGGTTATTATTCCATTCTATTATAATGCAGATTTGTAAGTGCAGTGACAGAGATAAGCCCTGAGGGCGAGGGGAATCAGTGAGGGACACAGCCCAGCTGGGGAAGCTAGAGATCTTCTTGGATGAATTAATACTGAAGCTTAGTCTTGAAAAGTAAGCAGAGGGTACCTAGAAGCTGTCCATACCCTGCTGCCTGGAGCATCCTTCTTTGTTATTTCTAGGCAGCAGGGTATGGAGAACATTTGCAACAGTTGGAGGCTACAGAAGCCAGAGTGTCTGCAGCGTGAAGAACAGAACATGAGTCAAGGGAAATGCACCGTTGTGCACCAGGGAACCTGCGTAATGAGTGTTGAATAGAGGACCTGAGGCCCTTAAAGATTCTTACAGTCTGCACGTCACCAAGATGCAACGTTTCTAAGTTTTTCTGGGTCCATTTGCTTGGCAAGTGGTAATAATTGGCATATCGGAGAGACTAGCTTTGCTGAGAAGTCAGGAACTTACCGGGCCAGGCACAGGATCATCCCACAGGTGAGTTCTGCAGCACTGAGGCTGTTCCCATTGGGGGTGCTAAAGATCAAAGAAAACGGGGACATCAGTGGGCACAGACCTAGTATTCTCATTCCTGCCCCAGGAGAAAGCCTTGAGTGCAGGCTGTGCTCTCTCCTGCTCCATAAGCTGCTCGGTTCTTAGCATTCACCCCCAGACCCACGCCACTGTCCAGGGTTCTCTGAAGTACCCTTGGCCTAAGCCAAGGGCTGGAATTTAGCCCCCTGCCCCTGGCTCTACGTTTCCCTGCAAAGGGACCCCTCTGTTAGAGAAACACACCTGGTTTCTCTCTACCCAAACGCTCACTTCTCCCAAGGCAGAGAAGTGACTCACATGGAGATTCGTGTATGGCTCAGCCCTCTTCTTTCTCCTATTTCAGGAACTACCTGCCTCCAGAAAGCACGAATTTCCTGCTGCTCCTACCATTGATCTTACCAAAGCCGAGTCTCTCAAATTCAGGGCTCACTCAGCCCACTGCCTACAGATCTTCATCAAGTTACCCAATCCGGCTTTTTTTTTTTTGAAACAGTGCTTTGCTCTGTCACCCAGGCTGGAGTGCGCTGGCATGATCACAGCTCACTGCAGCCTCGACTTCCCAGGGCTCAAGCGATCCTTCCAGCTCAGCCTTCTGAGTAGCTGAGACTACAGGCTGGTGCCATGATACCTGGCTACTGTTTTTTATATTTCTGCAGAGATGGGGAGGCTCACTTTGTTGCCCAGGCTGGTCTCGATCTCCTGGGCCCAAGTAATACTCCCACCTTGACCTTCCAAAGTGCTGGGATTACAGGCGTGGAGCCCCCACACCCAGCCCCAATCTAGCTTTTATTAGTAATCTCCACCCGTCTGACTGCTCTATCTCTCAACAAGCTCTGAACTGAAAAGCCTCCTCATACCTTAAGTCACAGAGCAACACAGACTATGCCCATTGTATAGAAGGGAGAATAGGGGTCGTAACCCACAAAACTATTTTTACTTTTCTCAACGGCTTTTTAGGTTTTTGAAAGAATTTCACATACATGTTCATCCCTTTTATTCCCCTACTGGGTCTTGTCTTTTTTCTCTCTGGAACGAAGGTTAATGAGGTTACAAGAAAAAGTCAAGAGATCCCGTATAAGATGAAGGGACTCGCCGGGCGCGGTGGCTCATGCCTGTAATCCCAACACTTTGGGAGGCCGAGGCGGGTGGATCACAAGGTCAAGAGATCGAGACCATCCTGGTCAACGTGGTGAAACCCCGTCTCTACTAAAAATACAGAAAATTAGCTGGGCATGGTGGCGCGTGCCTGTAATCCCAGCTACTCAGGAGGCTGAGGCAGGAGAATTGCCTGAACCCAGGAGGCGGAGGTTGCGGTGAGCCGAGATGGCGCCATTGCACTCCAGCCTGGGGAACAGGAGCGAAACTCCGTCTCAAAAAAAAAAAAAAAAAAAAAAAAATGAAGGGACTCTTGGAGACTGTCCACAAAACCACCTGGCTTCTCACCCTCCTGCAGCGAACAGGCTGTATGGGGGAGCCAGCAGAGGCGCGCAGGTTAGGGCCTGGCTGCCTCTGGGTCCAAGGCAAGAACGCAGGATGGGTTACATTTAACAGTTCTCCTGTTGACCACTGACCTCAGTCAGCTGACCAATTAACCTCTACCCTAAGCAAGGAAGAGCAGTGCAAGGGAGGGGCAAGGTCTTAAGGACAACGAAGTCCCCAGGGGAAGAGAGAAGGCTGAAGGACAAAGAGGCCCTGGGGGTGGCCTTGCCAAACCATCTAAGTGCCAGAACAGGTAGAGAACAGCCCTGGCATGCTGATGACCTCTGCCCTGTGCTCCTGCAGAAACAGCTCTAAAGGGGACCCTTCTCCTCTTGCCCTGGAGCACTACAAGAGAAACTGGTGTCTTCACTCCCGAAGGTGCAGGGAAGTAGGGAGGGCAAGGATTCTAGTCACTAGTCTCCTCGCAAAGGTTGTGCCTCTGTACAAGCCTGGTATGGTAGGGCTGACACGAAGCTGCCAAGCTTGGAACCACTAAGCTATATCTGACCATGCAGGCCCTAGACCAGGCATCCTCCTGGAAGCCCTTCCCATGGACTCGGCTTTCTCTCGAGTGAGGTTTTTCTGCCCTGGTGTGGTCAGTGTCTGCACTCACCCCTCGGCCCCCGCAGCCTCCACAACTCACTTCATGACCAAGACGCCCTTCCTTGTTGCGGCCTCCAGGTCCACGTTGTCCACGCCTGTGCCAGCCCTGCCCACCACCTGGAGCTTCTCGGCTGCGTTGATGACATCAGCGGTCACCTTGGTGGCAGAGCGGACAATGAGGCCTTCACAGTCCTGAAGCAGAAGAAACATGTGGGTCCACAGAGTCATTGTGCTAGAAATCCTAGAGCCTCGGGCACGTCACTGCTTACTCCTGAGTAAGAGATGCGTCCCCAGAACCTTGGGACGTCATTGATGACTGACAGCTCAGAGACATCTCGCTAGGGAAATGGGGACTAGGATTCAGGCTGATTTTTACTCAGAATCGAGGAGACTGTGGCTCGAACACACCAAGTGCTTTGTTCGACATGCCCAAGAAAGGGAAGCATTGGTCCACGGGCTCTGGGCACCTGGCTCATCTCTCTAGACAGCACCGTGATGCCTGCAGCCTGGAGGCCCATCAGGCACATGCCGCCAGTCAGGGGCCATTTCCTGTTCCTCTCTGTAAACCCTATCATGCCTGCACGCAGCTGACTCAAAATGGGACTTCCTACATGCTGGCTGATTTTGATATATTCAAAGAAAGAAAGGCAATAGTCATCTGTGCACACATCTGACAGGTTCTGCCATTGGGCAGGCTTGGGTTCCAAAATCCAAGCCCCTGCCTTCCCAGCTAGGAATCAGCTTCGGCCTCCTCAAGAGCATAAACAGAAAGCGAGACAGAACAGGCACAGCACCTGGCCAAGCTTAACGAACGTCACTTCCTCCATTAGACGCTGAGCTACTGAAGGGCAGAGGGGAGATGGAGTTCTACTTTGTAAGGTCCGTCCCTGACAGTGGGGAGGCACTCAATCAATGCTGGCCGGCTGAATGAGTCAACAAGGAATGAAACTAATGGTGAAAGAAAAACATTTCCTAAAACAGAGACCTAAGTAAGGGGGCAGGGGCAGGGGAAGAATCAGAGCAATTAAATTCATCTAGGCTTGCTCAGACACCTAGGCAATATTAGACTAAAAATATACCCATGTGAAAAATAAGACTGAATTCATCACAGCCACTCTACGTGAATGAAATAAGATTCCCCAAGACGATCTTCCTTATGCTCGCCCGGAATCCTGTGGTATGCGGTTCTTTCCAGAAGAAGAATATTCTTGCTCAAACACAGAACGAGAATCCCTAAGAAATGAGGTAGGTGAACAGGTCCCCACTTTGTCCCAAAGTGGCAGACACCAGGCCGGCCGGTGAGAAAGCAGTAAGCGTATTTGCAAAAGCACCAAGCTGGAATCAGGAAGACAGAGTTTCGAATCCTACACCTGCCAACAATGGGTGGGTCACTGTGGTAATTCACCTAGCTCTATACAAGTCTCCATCTGTAAAATAAAAGGGATGGAGCATATAGCTCCTCAGATCCATTTTCCCCAGTAGAGCTCTCAGCTGAATCCCATGAAAACCTTCTTCATCCTCCCACCATGTGGATTCTGGAGCTAGAGAAAGGCCATGAGAAGCTGGCCCCTAGGGTAAAGGCCCACGCTGTGTTTGCTGTACACAAGCCTAGAGCGTAGGAGCATATCTGGACAAAGTACATTTAAGGAGAGCAGTGGGTAAATTTTTTTTAACGTATTAATTTTTTTATTTTTATTTTTTATTGTACTTTAGGTTCTAGGGGTACATGTGCAGATCATGCAGGGTTGTTGCATAGGTACACACATGGCAAGGTGGTTTGCTGCCTCCATTCCCCTGTCACCCACATCTGGCATTTCTCCCCATGTTATCCCTCCCCAACCTCCTCACCCCCTCACTGTCCCTCCCTTGCCCTCCCCAACAGACCCCAGTGTGTGATGCTCCCCTCCCTGTGTCCATGTGTTCTCATTGTTCAACAACCGCCTATGAGTGAGAACATGTGGTGTTTGATTCTCTGTTCTTGTGTCAGTTTGCTGAGAATGATGGTTTCCAGGTTCATCCATGTCCCTACAAAGGACACAAACTCATCATTTTTGATGGCTGCATAGTATTCCATGGTGTACACGTGCCATATTTTCCCTGTCCAGTCTATCGTCGATGGGCATTTGGGTTGGTTCCAGGTCTTTGCTGTTGTAAACTGTGCTGCAATGAACGTTCGTGTGCATGTGTCCTTATAATATAATGATTTATAATCCTTTGGATATATACCCAGTAATGGGATTGCTGGATCAAATGGAATTTCTATTTCTAGGTCCTTGAGAAATCGTCACACTATCTTCCACAGTGGTTGAACTAGTTTACACTCCCACCAACAGTGTAAAAGTGTTCCTATTTCTCCACATCCTCTCCAGCATCTGTTGTCTCCAGATTTTTTAATCATCGCCATTCTAACTGGTGTGAGATGGTATCTCAATGTAGTTTTGATTTGCATTTCTCTAATGACCAGTGATGATGAGCATTTTTTCATATGTTTGTTGGCCTCATGTATGTCTTCTTTTGTAAAGCGTCTTCATATCCTTTGCCCACTTTTGAATGGGCTTGTTTGTTTTTTTCTTGTAGAAATTCCATTTGACCCAGCAATCCCATTACTGGGTATATATCCAAAGGATTATAAATTGTTCTACTATAAGGACACATGCACACGAATGTTCATTGCAGCATTGTTTGCAATAGCAAAGACCTGGAACCAACCCAAATGCCCATCTATGATAGACTGGACAGGGAAAATGTGGTATATATACACCAGGGAATACTAAGTGGCAATAAAAAATGATGAGTCTGTGTCCTTTGTAGGGACATGGATGAGCCCGGAAACCATCATTCTCAGCAAACTGACACAAGAACAGAAAATCAAACACCGCATGTTCTCACTCATAGGCGGGTGTTGAACAAGTGAGAACACATGGACACAGGCAGGGGAGCACTACACACTGGGGTCTGTTGTGGGGGGAATAGGGGAGGGACAGTGGGGGGTGGGGAGTTGGGGAGAGATAACATGGGGAGAAATGACAGATATAGGCTGATGGGGAGGAAGGCAGCAAACCACATTGCCGTGTGTACCTATGCAACAATCTTGCATGTTCTTCACATATACTCCAAAACCTAAAACACAATAAAATAGATATTAAAAAAAAAAGAAGTTGAAAAACAGCAGTAAGTATATGTTCAGAAATTGATAAATCAGCCAATAGAAGAAAATGTCAGGGGATATTTTTATGACTGGGATTGGGAAAAGCTTTCATAAGCAAGGCACAAATCCCAGAAACCCTGGAAGAAAATATTGACAAATTCAGTTACATTCAAATTTTAAACTTCCTGCAAGGAAAAAGATCTCGTAAACAAAGATAAGTAGTGTTCCTGATATGAGGGAAAAACTCCTTTTACCGTATGTCACAGAACAAGGACTCATCACCAAAAGTGATGGGAGTTCCTACAAATCAACTTTTTTTTCTTTTGAGACGGAGTTTCGCTCTTGTTGCCCAGGCTGGAGTGCAATGGTGTGATCTTGGCTCACTGCAACCTCCGCCTCCCGGGTTCAAGTGATTCTCCTGCCTCAGCCTCCCAACTAGTTGGGGTTACAGGCATGCACCACAAATCAACTTTTTTAAATGATAAAAAACACGATAAAAAATAGGTAAATAGGGGGCCGGGCGCGGTGGCTCAAGCCTGTAATCCCAGCACTTTGGGAGGCCAAGGCAGGTGGATCACAAGGTCAAGAGATCGAGAACATCCTGGTCAACATGGTGAAACCCCGTCTCTACTAAAAATACAAAAAACATTAGCTAGGCATGGTGGGGCGTGCCTGTAATCCCAGCTACTCAGGAGGCTGAGGCAGGAGAATTGCCTGAACCCAGGATGCGGAAGTTGCGGTGAGCCGAGATCGCTGCCATTGTACTCCAGCCTGGGTAAGGATCGAAACTCCATCTCAAAAAAAAAAAAAAAAAAAAAAAAAAATAGGTAAATAGGTAAGTAGTCGACATACGGAAGAACTACAAAGTGTCACTAATTTACAGACGCTTCAACACTAGGTATCAAGGAAATACAAATTTTTAAATGTGGTATTTTCAGGCATTATTTTGGCAAAAAGGAAATAGACCATATTCAACATTGTTTAGCATGGAGGGAACAGGAGTGTACACTCCCCAGCCTTTTTGGCGGGCAACTGGGCAGTGAGTGGGTAAGTACGTTTTTAGTGTGCATTTCTTTGCAGCCAGCAATGATACCTTAGGTAGTTGGTAACACAGTGAGGAAACACAATGTCCTTTCAAGTGGCACCAAAAGTCAAAGTTCAACTGACCAGAAGTGGGCACGGAGCAAGAGAAGGGACCACTTCGAGTTATCATCTTAGCCCCTTGTCTCTGTCGCATCAAGTTCCAGAGCTCCCATCTCAGGCCCAGCCCTGCTCCAGAGGCTCCCCAGTCAATCATCTCCTTAGATCTTAAAGGTCCAGCCTTCTTTCCTGCTCTCTCCCAAGCTGCCACCATGCTCCCGAAACCTTGCAAACCTGCTCCCCATGGGCAGCACTAGCTGGAGAGCAGGCAGACTCCCCAAAGTTTTGTTTTTCCTGCTTTTCAAAAACTTCTTTTCGTAAGATTTTTGAAAATCCTTGAGCACTCTTAGAAGTAGACCTATGCCTCCTTATCGCAGTCAAAGAAAGCAGCACAGAAACAGCACCATTCTTTCTTTCGTGAGCGAGGCCTCCTTGGATGGCTCTCCCTTGTGAAAATTTGCACAGTAATCTCTTGATTTTTCCCTCAAACCAGCCTTCTTGGGTGTCGGGGAGTCTAAGAGTCCCCAGTTAGACTCCTACAGATGAGCATCAGGTCCCCCCTGTCCCAAGCGCAGAAACTCCCACTCAGGAGACATTGGTCCCACACTAGACATCCCACACCAGTCAGTCAATGAGCTTCCGAGGCCTCTTATAACCTCAACTCCCCACTCTCTCTGTTTGCTCAATCAACACATACTCACAGAGAACCTGAGTCCAACCTACCTCCTGCCAAGCCCTCAAATCCCCTGCACCCCAAGGTTCCTTCCCTCCTCACACCGCAACTCACCCCCTTCAAAGACATTTCTTCAAGATGCCTCCTCCCGTCCTCTACTTATGCAAAATACAGCCCTAACCAAATGCACACACCCGCTCACATCTTCCACAGTTTGTGATCACAGCTCCTCCAGCGCCCACAGATCCTCCCTCCTGTCACTCCCTGGGTGAGGAAGTCCGTCTCTACACAGCACCAAATTCTGACGTTCACTGCCCTGTGTACTGTGTCCACACTGGTTGGAGCAGGCACTTCCCGCATTTCCTACAGGTCCCCCCGCTCCCCTGTCCTTAGCTACTGTTCAGCTGGAAAACTGCTTGATTTATGGCTGCTCCAGACAAACTGCTAACTCAGCAGTGGGAACCCATTCCCGTTCCTCAAGTTCACACATGCTTCCTTTCCCAAGAGGGCAAACTTGGCCTAGGAGGTAATTCTAGCATTGCCATGCCTCTAACTTAAATCACAGGGCAAGACAATGAAACTGTCCAGGTCATCTTCCTCAGCTACAGGGAAGGCAGGTCTACCCCGTTTTGCACAAGATGTGTGATCCTGATTAATTGGACGGTTATGTAACTTTTGCAAACTAAATCTGTGTGTAAAGGCTGGGGACATGCGATTTAAAGAGGCTCTGAAAAGCACTCTTAGATGGAAAGATTTATTCCCTTCTTAATCCTCCTTAAAATTCTAGTATAAAGATATAGATGTGCTTCAGTAAGTTACATACTATTACCAGTGTTTAGTTTAGCGGTCCTATCAATGCTACTCAATGAAACGGAAGAAAATACCAGAATGTATCATATGTAGAAAGAGTAAGTATCATTTCATAAAAATTGTGTGTGTCTATGAGCACACGTATGTATGAGTGTGTAAGTTAAGACATAAAACAAATTTCTTATTGTGGGTCACAGTCAAAGTTTAGAAGCCACTAATAAATGATAATGCTATTTAAATATTTTCCTGTATATTAGGTATATTTAAGATGTGAGTTTCAAACAAGATGCTTCATTATTATTATTTATTTATTTATTTATTTATTTATTTATTTATTTATTGAGACGGAGTTTCGCTCTTGTTACCCAGGCTGGAGTGCAATGGCGCCATCTCGGCTCACCGCAACCTCCTCCTTCTGGGTTCAGGCAATTCTCCTGCCTCAGCCTCCTGAGTAGCTGGGATTACAGGCACCCGCCACCATGCCCAGCTAATTTTTTGTATTTTTAGTAGAGACGGGGTTTCACCATGTTGACCAGGATGGTCTCGATCTCTTGACAGTGTGATCCACCCGCCTCGGCCTCCCAAAGTGCTGGGATTACAGGCTTGAGCCACCACACCCGGCCCAAGATGCTTTATTATTTTAAGCCTATGTTTTCCCAACTTTTTTTTGACTGAGACTCACTGTAAGAAATACATCTTTTTCTTACAGTGAGCTCTTTGCCCAGGATGGATTGCAGTGGTGAGATCACGGCTCATTGCAGCCTCAACCTCCTAGGCTCAAGCAATCCTCCCCCCAGAGCACCAGGCTGGGAAGGGTGACAGCAACCAGGGCCTTAGCCCTCCACCCTGCCCCCGAGGAGCTGAGACTACAGGCTTGTGCCAGGATGCTTAGCTAATATTTGTATTTTTTGTAGAGAAAGGGTTTCACCATCTTGCCCAGGCTGGTCTCAGCCTCCTCCCTTCAAGTAGCGATCTGCCTCCTCTGGTTCCCCAAAGTGTTAGGATTACAGGCATGAACCACCGCACCCGGCCAAGAAACACATCTTTACGTTGTAATTTCATACTCACATATCACACACATAACAACTACACATACAATTGAAACAAAATTCATGAAACAATACTCAAGAGGCTTACTATCTGCATTGCTGCATTTCCTACTTTGTTTTTAAAAATACTAGTCATGATCCATTAAACTGAGCTCTGACATGCTTCAAGTCTGAAAAGGGGCAGGGAGGAATGATTGTGCTTCCTGACCACGGGGTGAGTGAGAGGAAACCGTGCCTGCCCAGAATACAACGCAGTGGGAACCAAGGCCAGGCCCGGTTCTAGCAATGGCGCCAAAGCTTCGTTCAGCATGAAAGAGATTTCGAGTGGGGGAGGGCAGGAGACTTCGTGCAGAATAAAAGGGCATCGTGTAGAAAGGAGAACCCTTCAGTTGGCTGACCAAGGAGATTAACTGGCATTCTGAACCAAACGTGTTGCAAAGGCAGACACGAAAGCTGAGCCCTCCCAGACAGCCCAACAATGCCCTGCTGTCAAGTTAGCCAACAACCTCTCCTCTCCTGCCAAGAGTTTTCAGCGCCTTTAAAATGTTCCCCAAGTTTCAGCACCAGACTGGCAGCATCCACCCAGCTGATTCCCGACTTCATGGAACAACTCATTATGGATGAGGCCTCCCATTCCTCTCTTTTCTGCCCTCATCCCTCCCTATCCCCAACCCCTCATTGGGGTATAAGGTTTCTAATTTCTTTTAGAGAGCTGAAAGCCCCTGATTGTCTGGAGGACACCCCACTGCTTTTCCAGGTGGTTGCCCAAAGCCACTGATACCATTTTACACAAGAAAGGAGGTGACAGACGTGAGGAGCCTGCCACCCAACCAACCCTGCTCAAGTCCTGAGCCACTGCCCACCAATTAGATGCATGAAGATCTGCCTCTTCTCTGGCTTTTCCAGCAAGGGGAGCAGGCAGAGGGTAGGGAGCTGGATGGTCTAATTCAGGGCTTAAGCCCTGTGCCATCTGCTCAACTGTCTCCTGTGTGGCGGCCATGTTCCCTAACCACCTACAAACTTCTTGAAGGCAGGGACCCAAGTTTTCCGAGTAGAGGGCAGGGCTGGACACTTGGATGTAGTGCCATGCCATGGGGACAGGGTCCATGGCAGCAGATACAAAGGCAGACAAAGAGAGCGCAGGCCGTTTGTTTCCAGGCCCACGTGGTTGTGGCACAGCTAAAGCAACAGCAGCAGCCTCTGCGGGCTACGGGATCCTCCGAGGAGGTTGACTGGGCTGAGGCTGGCGAAAGGCGGCTGTGCAACGTGGAGAGTCGGGGAGAATAAGCCGGATCAGGTGAGGTAGGGACTGGGCAGCTGGGTGGACTACAGAGGTCGCAAGTGCAGGCCCTGGAGTGAACAGTTCACAAAATCAATGTCCTGGACAAGGCCACCAAGCCCTGCGGGCCTTTTCAAACACGGTAGACAAAGACTTAAGGTAGATTAATTATATATCACAACAAACGGGGATAACGTTCCTAAAATTTGTTAAGACTATCAATCACCTGGAAGGGTTTGGGATCGGATTCTATTCCAGTCCGGTCACTCCCAACCAACAACAAACCAAAGGTGAGGAGGAGGCTAAACCTGGACCCCAGCGCCCCCAGCCGGCCCCCGTTTCCTCCGAAGGCTCCCAGGAGGCAGAGGGGCTGCAAGCCCGGAGCAGTCTTGCATCAGACGAGGGGCGGGTACGCGTCTGCAGCCCTGCGAGGGCCGCCTTTCCCAGCAGCTGCCCCAGCAGCCACGAGACTGGCTGGGACTCCGCCAGCGTTGCCCTCCCGCCGAGTAAGCCTCCCCCACCCCCTCACCCCCTCCGCCCCCCACCCCCTCCGCCTCCCATCCCCCACCCCCTCCGCCCCCCACCTCCTGCCAGCCTCCCCCAGCCCCTCTCCACCCCCAGCCCAAGGAAGGCTGGAATCGGCGGGGGCGGCCCAGAACTTGGTTGGGAAGAATCGCTAGTTCCCGGGTTCCCCAAGAGGAAGCCACTTTGGCGCCCCTCCCCCTGTCCCCCCGCGCGGAGGCAGTTGGAGGTGGGGGAGGGCGGCGCGAGGCTGCCAGAACAGCTGCGGCCGAAGCTCCGGGGCGCCGCGCTGGCATCCGGCGCTGGCATCCGCGGGCAGCCTGCAGGACCAGTTGGAGCAGCCTGCGGCGCGCAAGGCTAGCGGGGGCATGCCAACGACAGAGCCGCGGCTGCAAACTAAAAGCAAAGTTCGCATCTCGCCGCGGTTTGCTCTTCCCCCTTTCTGCCTCCCCGGCCACGTTCCCCGCTACCTCTCAATCTCAGGAGGCCCCCGGAACTGACTGATGAGGGGGGCACGTGAGGGGGCGTGCTGGCCCAGGCGCAGCCAGCCTTTCTCCGCGGACGCTGCCCTGGAGACCTCGGTTTTTTTCCCCGGCTCCCCTTACCTGCAGCTCGGCTATCAGCTCCTCTTTGCTAAGGTTCTGCTTCTCCACCACCTGCAGCCCTCCATCTTGCAGGATCCTCCGGCAGCAAGGGTCCAGGCTGTCACTGATGAGCACTTTCCGCAGATTTGCAAAGGCCATTGCTGGAGGCGGCCTCGGGATCGGCCGCTGCAAGTGGAGGTGCTTCCGCCGAGAAGCTGCGGCCGGGGCCTGGCGCGCTGGAGTAACTGGCAGTACTCTCCAGCTCCCGCTCCCCCTTCATCTCCCCCTGCTGCTCTTGCCGCCTCCTTCGGATTGGGCGGAAATACTCAAACTCTCCGCGGCTCCGCCTCCTCCTCGCGGCTCTTCGTTTGCCAGATCCCCGCCCACTTTGTTACCCTCCCGCAATGAACGTCTGGGTCTCAGCCAAAAAGCTCTTACCTACACCTGGTGAGCATATAAAAAGCACAATGCACGCTGACTAGCTGATGCATATCTGAAACGAACGGAGGAATAGACCTCGTCGTGAGAGAAAAACTTCACGTTCACTTTTCCTCCTAAGGATTCGTTCATTGATTCCTTAAGGAGCAATTTTTTTTTTTTCGAATTGGTAAATGTGCAAGACACTGTGCTAGATGTAGAAGGGAATTCGACCTCGCCTTGGTACATCCGAGAGTACCAAGCACACAGACGTGCAAAGTTACGTAGTGAAAAGCAATAGGAAGCTTTCTGAGACACCACGGAGCTGTGGTTAATTCTAAATTCGTGATGCAATGAGAACTATGTGTTTAACTAGGCATGCTTTGTTAAAATTCTTTATTCCCTTTCCCTCCACTTCCTCTCTAATTATGAAAAAGAAGGAAAGGAAAAAGGGATGTCAGTGTGGTCTGGTTTATACACTGACCAAGGAGGCACTTCTCAGCTCTTAACTCTTTAATATTTAAACCCCATAACCATCATGCTCTCTTCTGCCCCATTTTACAGAAATGTCAGAAAATTCAATCTAGGATTAAAGTCACCTAAAATCAGAAGCAGAATCAGAGATGCTCATAGTTGAATTAGAATTCAGCTTTACGGACATATCCAGTCCAATTAACCATTGTGTGTTGTGCTGTCCTGAGCTTTTCATAACTCAAGTGCTAAATCCTTATCCTTCAGAACTATGCAATATCAATTCTATAAAGTAATGAAAATTCTAGACTGATAATTCCTAGGCAGAAATCAGATTTTTAGACTCAATCATCCCAATGGGCAAAAAAAATAATCTATTCTTGTTTACTTGTTCAGATGAATTTGTATTCCTACATTGCAAGACTCATGAGTATTCAATTTCTCTGCCTCTCTTGAGGCGTCCAGCAGTACCCTGGGGTCTAGGAACAGACAAGAGACCTGTTCCAGGAGGCTTAATGGAGGACCCTGAGAAGCATCCGTTTCTGTAACGGCTTTTCTTCAACTTCTCCCAGGGCTCACTGCCTGCTTCCTTTCAGTGTAAAATCTAAACCCTGCTTCCTTTCAGTGTAAAATCAACATGTAATCCCGCCCCTTCACACCAAGTCAAACTTACTGGATACTATTTGACCACACAACCAGAAGGCCTCCTAAGCCTGATCACCTGTTTTCTTTATTATTTATGAGCCACTTACTTTTAAAACAGATCCAAGCCACACAATAAAAGACACTTCTAGGTTGGGCGCGGTGGCTCACGCCTGTAATCCTAGCTCTCTGGAAGGCTGAGGTGGTCAGATCATGAGGTCAAGAGATCGAGACCATCCTGGCCAATATGGTGAAACCCCGTCTCTACTAAAAAATACAAAAATTAGCTGGGCGTGGTGGCACACCCCTGTAGTCACAGTTACTCTGGAGGCTGAGGCAGGAGAATTGCTTGAACCTGGGATGCGGAGATTGCAGTGAGCCGAGATTGCACCACTGCACTCCAGCCTGGTAACAGAGCAAGACTCTACCTCAAAAAAAAAAAAAAAAAAAAAGGAAATAAAGAAAAAGAGATTTCTAAACCCATTAAGAAAACAATTAACAGGTAAGAGTCCATTTCCAAGTGAAAAGGAGGGTATGTGATAACTGTTACAGAAGACAGAAATGTTTCCTCCCTTTAAATTCCTGTAGAATTAACTTTTGTCAAGTTATCTCACAGTGCCGTATGGAACATATTCATGAACTTTTCATGTCTTGTTCCCCCTGGACTCTCATTTCATTAGGATCAGAGATACAACTTTGTATCCCCCCAGTAGTGCCTAGCACATGCTTTCCACGTCACAGAGGCTCAGAAAAGACTTGATTCAAAAATGAATTTATAGGAGGCTGAGGCAGGAGAATTGCTTGAACCCAGGAGGCGGAGGTTGCGGTGAGCCGAGATCGCGCCATTGCACTCCAGCCTGGGTAACAAGAGCGAAACTCCGTCTCAAAAAAAAAAAAAAAAAAAAAATTAATTTATCCAGTAGCTCCCACATGCAGGTACTGTGGCTTAACCCTAGGGATATGGTGATGCATAAGATACAGCCTCTTTCCTCAAAAAGAAAGAAAAACAATATTTTAACAAGAGTAGCCCAGCATGGTGGCACACTGCTATAGTCTTAGCTACTTCAGAGGCTGAGGCAGGAGGATCACTTGAGCCCTGGAGTTTGAGGCTGCAGTGAGCCATGATTGTACCACACAGCACCCCAACCTGGGCAACAGAGTGAGACGCTGTCTCTAAAAAACAAAAAAATTAAAAAGCAAAAAGGTATAGTTTAAGAATTATGAACAGACGTGTGCTGGAGTGCTTTGGGAGCAAGGAGGAGAAGCACCACCTAAGGAGCCAGGAAGACTTCCAAGCAAAATTGCCTTTCAGCGAATCTTTTGAAACTCATTCAAGGCAGCTACTCTGAGAGGCCCAGGGATACAGAGACAGGTAAAACATAACCTGGCTTGAAGCTGCTCATGGTTAACTGCCTAATCTTGAGAGCTGAATAGGAATCAGCCAGGCGGAGAGGAAGTGACATTTCCAAAGGCTCAGAGCTGTGAGGAGTGGCAACATGTTCATGGCTTCTCTACCATGAATGTGGGGATGTCAGGAGGACATCAGGAGGTGAGACCGCGGAGGGGCCAAGGGCTGCTTATGAAGGGCGTTGCCCTGAGGAGTTTAAACTTGACTCCAAAGTTAGCACAGAGGCTGCGCCGAGTGATTTAGAAGCAATATGATTAAATGTGTTGCTGGCCGGGCTGAGACCTGATACTGCTAATATAGATATATCTCTCGCCACTACACCCCAGAATCTGCACCATCTATTGCAGACTAAGGGTTTTTCTTTGATAATTGAGGGTTGGAGTTGGGGAAATTTCTCCCTCTCCCTGTGTTATTACATCCCTCCATAAAACAGGAATTTGGCCCACTTGGAAGTATTAAAAAAATAGTTCTGCCCTTCTCCTCAAACCCCCTCCTTCTCTCTCTTCCTCTGGCCTCAATCCCTTGGGAAGAGAAAACCATTCTAATTAGTGAATTTGGAAAAAAGGTCGTAGTGCATGCCCAGGCCGGCCCTCTTTGGCTCTCTCTTTCCCACAGTACAAATAATGTACACGCTCCTGCTTTCTTGTGTGCAGTGAATCTGTGAGAGCAGGACCTACCCCTACCTGAGATTGCAAGCTGTCCAGCTGCTCTGCCTGTAGCTCTGAGAATAAGGTTAACGGGGTTAAGGGAAGGAGAGTAGGAACTCTATTCTTCTACTTGGAGACCAGCTGTGATACCCAAACTCGAATCATATGAAATAAAACAGATATTTTAAGTTGTAGAAAATGAACCGTCATCTATGAAACAGGCATATCTTGAATTCTACCTTCTCAAATTATGAACAATGTGACTTTGGGCAAATTACATTGCTCCCCTAAGACTTAGTTTTCTCCTCTGTAATGTGAAACTAATCGTACGAGAGTGCTTGGCTCCTAAGGTTGTTGTAAGGATTAAATAAGGCAAAGCATGCAAGTGAGTGTAATCTCCAGTGCTTGACTTGCCTTTATTCATCCATTCCATCAATCAGTGTACATTTATTGAAACTGTAATATGCCAGGCACTGCTGAGGGGGTTAGCAATGAAGCTTTGATTAAGACCATCTCTGCTCTCATGGAGCTTATACTATGTTTGAGGATAGAAAATAAATGAATAACTGAAAAACTAAACTGGATAATCTTAGGGCATGTAGAATGATTAATGTAAAACCAGATGATGTGGGAGACAGGATGGGGGAGAGGAATTGTCGATTTCAGGAAAGATCTTCCTGATCAAAAAGTCCATAATCCTGAGGAGGTGGAACCTGAGTTGAGACTGAAATAAGAAGAAACTGGCTACGCAAAGAATTAAAGAAAAAGAGAATTCTAGGCAGAAAGAAAAGCAGAACAACGTGGCACATTCAAAAAACATGCCCAAATATTTCCATAGTACTTACTAAGTGCCAGGCACAATGCCAGGCACTGGAGTAACAATCCTGAAAAGGTCACATGTAGTCCCTGCGCACAGGGAGAGTGCATTCTAGTCTAGTGTGTGAGCGAGTATGTGCTATGTGTGTGATCTGCGTCAGACAAGTCTCAGAGAAGGTAGCACTTAGGCAGAGATCTGAAGGTGAAGACGGCCAGTGAAGAACATTTAGAGGAAAGAGAACAACAAAAAAAAAACCAAAGTCCCTTGGGTAGGAAGGAGCATGGATTTTTCTAGGAACTGACAGAAGGTGAGGGAACATGGTGGAAGACGAGGTGGGAGACATCAGCAGGGGCCAGACCACTGAGGGCATGGGAATAGTCTGGACTTTGGGGGATGCAAGTATCAGACACCCAGTGTAAACCGGTTCAAGGAAAAAAGGGAATGTATTGCCCCAGGTGTCCAGAAAGATCAAGTGTGGACAGAAACAAAACGTGCTCACATAGTGTCATTGGCAATCCATGTCTCTCTCACCTGTCTCTGTTTTCCTCTGTCTTATTTCCAGAAAGGCAAAATGTGGCAAGAATGTCGCAAGTTGGTGAAGAATATAAAATTCAGCCATGGAACCAACCCAAATGCCCATCGATGGTAGACTGGACAAAGAAAAGTGGTACATATACACAATAGGAATACTATGCAGCCATAAAAAACAATGAGTTCCTTTAGGAGGCCGAGGCAGGCAGATCATGAGGTCAAGAGATCCAGACCATCCTGGCCAACATGGTGAAACCCCATCTCTACTAAAAATACAAAAATTAGCTGGGCGTGGTGGCATGTGCCTGTAATCCCAGCTACTCAGGAGGCTGAAGCAGGAGAATTGCTTTAACCCGGGAGTCGGAGGTTGCAGTGAGCCAAGATTGTGCCACTGCACTCCAGCCTGATGCCTGGCGACAGAGTAACACTCTGTCTCAAAAACAAAAAACAAAAAACAATGACTTCGTGTCCTTTGTAGGGACTTGGATGAATCTGGAAACCATGATTCTCAGCAAACTGACTCAAGAACAGAA